CAGAACAGCTCCTCATTAATCAAAGAATGCGTATATAATTAGTCTTTCGAATGAAGAAAAACAATGATGCTCTTTTAAAAGCTGTCGAAAGTTTTCAAACTTATCAAATCACCAATATTTACGTAACATGAGGTCCGAATTTGCTGCAGATTATCCACTTTATTACAGAGAAGGTGGCTTACATTAGACTTTGCTGGAGATCAAGTAATAAAGTTGGTGCTATATCTACGGTGAAAAAATAAATACAGAATCTTTTGGTACATTCCTACGTTCGTCATTATTGACATTCGCATGGTTATCGTTAATTATAACCAAGAATAATCCGGTAAGGCTGGTACCTAAAAATTAAACAAGGAAACAATTTATCAGTTATCATTGTATGCAACAAACATGCTTGCGTAATTTATAAAGTAGATGGTTTAATCGTGTGCAGCAAATTAGAAATTGTCCTGAGGGATTTCGTTAAAAACTAATTTATGCCTAATTCACACAGGAATTTAAATCCGTTTTTGAATATTTTATGGATTTTAAAATACGAACACCATACTAGAACTTTAGATGGGTAATAAGGCTAAATCGTATTAATGTATCTGCGAGATCTGGTTCAAGTGTTAAATAATGCATTAGGCATTTTAACTACACTACTTTAAGCCTAATAGAAAACATGAGTTCGAAATGTCTTTTGTAAGCAAAAAAAATTGATGAATGTTTGAGAATATGCAGTTATAATTAGAAGGGCATGAAAGGTTTGCTTCTACTGGGTCAGCTAAATTTCAGAATCATCCCGATGATTATCTAAACAGATATCTTGTTAATAATAGGTTACAAATCTCTAAGAATTCTTGAAACGGAATTTTGCATACTTGATGTTACCGTCAGTGTGTTATTTAATAAATGTGTGATAATTTCGAAGAAGAGCAGCTCTAGTATGCTGACTTTACGAAGACAAATTGCGATGAGTTTAGTTGTTGAATTTAACGGATGAGTGAATGCAGTCAAAGCCAAGTTACATCCACCTACTAAAGAACTTGTTTTCTGTATTTTAAACTTGAGATACCTTGCCAAAAAAGAAGAAAAATTATTGATAGTAAGAAATGAATAAATTATCCAGATCACTGAACACAAAAACCACGAATTTGTCCAATTTTTTTGTACATTGTTCTTCAAGGCAATCAATGTACTTACAAATATGCGTACGAAATTCCCGAATATTGAATTTTTAAAAGGAACCACAGTATATAGATATATGTTAGAAACAGCTTTAAAGTAGCCATCTCTTAGACAATAACGGTTTTGTTTGCTATTTCTACAGCATTGGCAGATGTTATTTGTGTGCATTGAACCGAAATCTAGGAAATTGAAATAGCTATCATCATTGCTTACATGATAATAGATTTATAGAGTTAATTTCTCCTGCTTGTAAATCGACTGGGTGCTTGATATGTTTTTATATATATCTGAAATCGCCATAGCTTTGAGATTCGCACTGTCCACATAAAAAGGAAAAGCAATTTAAAATTTATGTAAGTGTACCACATTTAGTCAACATAGCTTTAAAAGTTATTTTCTTTTAACTTGTTCTGACATCGATGAATCTCAGATGTTATACATCACTATGTTATCAAAAGTTGCCGCTTGAGAATTTGTGCCTTATGATTTCTGCCGTAGATTAGCCATGCTATCTCCATAGATGAGCAATCACATAAAATGAAATTTTTAACAACTATCGACAGTATGGGAAACCAATTTGGAAATTGAGGACAGCTTTCATGCACTGAAATACTTGTTGAAATATCTAGCCTGGCATTTTCCAATGTCCCATACTTGGCATTTCTGTTCCAAGTAAATGGTAGATGAGGAACATTGCTCTTCTTGACTTGCAGGAATGCCGCTTCATCCATCGCAGTTTCCTTCTTCTCTTGCAGTCCAAGTGGCATCTACTGTCCTTGTCCTCGTTCCTAACTGGCTGATGCCTCTTCAGATTCGGCAATCCTAATCCTGGGCAATATCTATGGATAAATCTAATGGACATTTGATGGACTGCCTTGGCAACTACTGCCGGCATTCAAGTGTTCTCGCCTCAAAGTTTCATTGTAGAGAAAGGATTAGGGTTCAATTTGCGTTATCTAAACGCGTCCTCTGCCACCAGTATAGAATACCTGGGCATTTGTTTAAAGAAGACGGATACAACAAAGGAGGCTTTTTGACAAATTACAAACCAGAACAGTACGTTCGGTGTCTTGCTTTCGGATCCGCCACGAAGTCTGCATCTCTTGTTTGTAGCGGTAGGGCAGAAAGCCGCCATCTCGGTGCTCGATCATTTGTCAAGGGTGAAGAGCACCACATGATGACAGCGTCATGAGACCGAGGCGGTGACTACCGACTTTGTGGCGTCACGTGTGCATCGAATGGCGCGTCGGAAAATGAGAGCAATCCACTCAAGAGTTTTTGATCTCCATTACCTCGCCGAAAAAAGGGCCAACGGAAAAACACGACTGCCGGGACGAGGCTTTATAAGATCCCTGAATTCCACTACGATGCTGGCCAGATTATGACCGATTCTAATCTCCATGAAAGATCACCATATTGTCAGGGTCTCGAATCGTTCATACCATGGAACCGAAACGTACACGTTATAAACTACACTCACACGTGTCTGTCTCTGGTTGGCTGCATATCTTCATCGTAGGCCATTCAAACGCAAACGCTTCACCGCTGTGGTACTGTAGAATACCTTAGCTCGAGCATGGAGAAAACTTCCACAACAGAACCACATGTCGGGCGCCGTCCATTCAAGTCCACCACGCTGGCTACGCCGCTCATTAAATACTGCTCCTCATTAGTGTCTTTATCTGGTTGGCTGCCGATGGAACGCAAAGAGACAGAGGATTGACTGAGACTGCCGTGGTCCAATATGTCTGCTACCCTGGACGTCCCTACACTGTTTCCCCATAGAAGTAAAGTTGTCCTCAGCTTCTGGCTTGGTTCCTGGCACTGTTATTGATTGACAAAATATCCAATTCGACACTCCACGATACCCCACATCCGGCAAGATAGTGGCCCAAACGAATATTAAACGATGGATTTCGTTCCTGTTGGCTAACAGGAAGACCGCTTTATCCATCCCAGGTTCCCTCTCCTCGTTCAGTTCAACTGGCTTCTACTGTTCCTATCGACTTCGCTGAGTTGTCGATGCCTTCTCAGATGCAGCAGCCCAAACCACGGTCACTGTCAATGGATCAAGAGAGTGGCACATTTGATGACCGTCATGACAACTCCAGCTGTCATTTAAGGGTCTTTACCTCTGTTGACCATTGAAGAGAAAGGGCTGGGGTTCGATTAGCGTTATTCGAACGCATCCGCCGCCACCAATGCAGAATACCCGAGCCCTAATAGGAAAAAGACCGGTACAACAGAACAGGCTCCATTGACCAATCACAAGCCAGAGCCACACATCAAACGCCTTCCATCCGATTCAACTACGCTGGCCACGCCGCCCATTATATACCACACCTCAGTCGTGTCCTTCTCTGGTTGGCTGCTTATCTTCCTCACATGCCATTGGAACGCAGAGGGACACAGAATTGGCTGAGGCCAGGTGGTCCAACATGTCTGCGCCCCAATCCGACGCCACACCACACCAGATAACACCACATTACGGTATTAATTCTTTTGTTCCTGGTATTTATTTGAATTCTGGTTTGAGATTTTTTCTTAAATTGCTCCTGACAATTTCTTGGTAAAATTGTACGTAATAGGAGAACAAAACAATTTTGATGTCATGAGCTCTGGCTCTGTCCGGTATTCAATTCAATCAATCCGTGATTGCCAATTTTACACGTCGGTATCTGTATTGGGTGTCGTGCATTGATTCGTTCACTTTTTATTGTTGTTCACGAAATACCCCTTGTGTTGGTAGATCCCATAGACTTGATTAATTTTAATTTGATTCCGTGAGTTTTAAGTTAATAAAAGCCTATGTGTTAACTAATAGGGTAATTTATCAATAAATCTTGGGAGACTGGCTGTTTTATTTGTGGGTCCACGTTTTTAAATCCTTTGCAACATAGTTGATCGCGACTGTCCGTAACTGGGTGTATTTAATTGCTGTGATTAACATTCTGGTTATTCCATAGGTTACATAGGCATTAAATTTTCTTAGTCTGCGGTTATAGCGTGTGCTTGTTAATAATTTGCGCTGAAACACTTTATAGAGCCCAAAATATGGCAATTTAAGGTGGGGTTAAGCTTAAAAAGTAGGAATTAAAATGTACACAGCTAACTTAAAAATTCCTAAATTATCTATAGTAAATACTGGCAAGATTGCGTTACCGGTTGTCCGTTATACAATTGTGTAGGTTTATTTATATAAATATGTCCCTGTTTAAACAGGCGATGGAGCAGCAAAGTGCCGTTGTTGATGCGTTGCCATATTTCGACAAAGGTTATGGGGAGAATGGCATGCAAGAAGCCAACGCGCTTCTGACTGAAGAGATGCGTCGTTACCGGCCTACAAAGAATTACTTGGAACATCTACCGTCCCTGGCTGGACCCATTCCTCTTAAGTTTGAAACTGAAATCATGAGAACTGAATTTGATCGCCTCGCCAACCGTCTTCCGATGGAACTACTAAGTATGAAACGCTACGAATTGCCTCCACCTCCATCTGGCAAGATTGGCGATCTTCGTTCGTGGCAGGAGGCAATAGAAAATGCTCACGTGAGATTCCCTCGTATTTAAGTCAGACAGCTATTCGGGATTTCGTTTTTTTTATATTCATCGAGCCACTTTTCGAATCATTTAACTCTAGATGTACGGATTTATTGCTGATCCTTAAAGCCCTGCAAATTATTTGTCGCTAGCACGTGCTTGGCTAAAATTAGTTTGCTATCACTAACGGATCTAACACACTGTCAATTACAGCCACTCCGTACTGATGTACTTGTAAGAGACTAATCTCTCTAAAATGTTTTAATTGGTATTACATTTTTGTGTCCAGCCTCCAAAGTGCCTCGAAGGTTAATGTGCAAATAACCTATATTACAAATCAATCTGGAAATTTGTAAGTAGTGGTAGTGTCCTTGGTATGCCAGCCCTGTGTGCATTGGCTGCTTTCTTCGAATTTGTACAGCAACCTTTACTAGATTCGGGGGTTAAATGTGCGATTTCTTCTTATGTTTTAATCTTTCTACACATAGGCTCAGCTGGAGCATCAATTAACGCGTATTAACAACCTGGAATTGATGAGCGAATATGGTTCAACTGCCTGGAAGTCCTATAATGAAGATCTTGAAAAGATACTACGCAAACACGAGATGGACCTACTCGAAATTAGGTACACTTACGCACCTTTAATTATCCTATACAATTTGCCCATTTTAAAGCTAGTCCTTTCCAAATGTCAAGTTACACTTTCCGCGATTGTTAAATTGGTTTCGCAAAGACTTCTTGCTTTTGAGAGCATTGATCAACAACACACCTTAATTAAGTTGTTTACATAGGTGTCTTTATCAATACTGTTAAAGGTTTTTTGTAGGAAATAGGAAGCTGTATAATATTTTTAAACTTTTCATGCTCCCTGGCTTGTGTAATAAATTATTGAAACCCATGGTCTTTATTGCCACAAACAGACGAAAAGTTCAAGAGATCAATTGGCAACGAAAACAGGAGCAGACCCTGGCGGGTGAGACGCTGACTCAGCTTGAAGAGGAATGGGTCATGTTGGTGGGCAAGAACTACGAAATTGAACAGGCCATCATCAATTTGGAACAGGAACTACAAGTTTCTGCCGGAACTCCCATGAATGGTGACACACAAGAACCATAGAAGGAGTGGACTGTTTGCATTTCTGTACATAATGCCGAACTCAGACTTCGCCCTTGTTTAATTGTAGTGGTATTTAATCGTTTTCAGGACTTATGACTGACTCGTTTTATATTCGGTACTAGAATGCATGCGCCACCCATTTGTCTGGTCTGCTATTCTAGAGCCAGAATTACATTCCAAAGTAGTCCATAATGGTGTTTCGAGGTATTTTTTGTACTACAATGGCATCCAATTGTACTTTCACACTCATGACACAGAAATCCATCAAATTATAGGTTAAGCTACTCTATAAGTATCGGGAATTTGTACTAATGGCGTACTATTTCGAATTCACCCAGGCTAAATGCCCCTGTTTGCGTGAAACTTATTCGCTTTTTGAATCCGGGGTGTAGTTTGGCAGTTTAGGCCATCGCTTGTGTATATATGGGTAATCCAATGTAGAAAACCCAAGTATGAGGGTTGGTATGATAGTTTTAGTGTACGAAGTCGGTTTTATCAATTAAGCATGTGATGGGACAGTTTGGGAGATTGTCTTACGCAACCTAGCTTGCTTTTCGGCCCGTTTTGTAAGCTCATAACCATATGCAAGTACATCTAGGCATCTACGTCCATTCAAAAGGAGTATATACATGTGGCTTGGAAGAATTACGACTAAGACGAGGATGTCTGTTTTTCAAAGTAAGGAGAGTTGACAGAAGGTGAAGTAGATACTCTTCCCCGTGTTTGTTCGTGAATGCATCCGTGGCTTTCGCATGTGATAGGCATCACAGAAGTAACGCCTGGGACATTGGCAGGCGTAGATTCCACTGGTCAGGAATCCCTCCGCATTAGGGATTTCGTAAAAACATGGTGTAGTCAAACTTCGGCAAGGAGGCTAAATATTCAGACAGGCGTGTTCAATGAAAATCACGAATGGAACTCACAATCTGTATTTGTGTCACGATAACATTGCTAGTTAGTCAAATCTCATCGACATACCAAATGCCACCCAATCTGGAGTCCTTCCTACGCAAAAACATAACGGTCTGTGTGTCTGTTTTGTGTTCTTGGTGGTTCTGGTGAAAGGTTGCTCAAAAAGTTGCCTACCTGACCTATATACAAGTCGTCTCTCCATTGGGCTTTTCACTGTCTTGTTTATGACATTAATTTAATTAATATCACTGTACTACCTGTCTACACGTTTGCTAGTTAATTGTGTGCCTACTGCATCATTATGATATCTTACCGGTGCCCGACAGGTCATGCTTATGAAGCGGGGTTCGATGATACGTTTTGTGGGGGGGAGGGGTTTGGAGTAGGTAATTTCGAGAATCTCAGCGGGAGTCTTGCATCGACATCGAAAGTCATTGAGGTAAAGTTGGGTGCCCCGCTGCTGCAACTCGAAGGCGACACGGTTGCTGAGGCAATACGGATGGCTCAGTGGAGAATATAGGTTGCCGCAGGTGTGCAACTGAAATTCATACAGGCGCATGTCTGCAGGGATAAAACGAAAGGTAACGAAATACGTTTTCCTCATCATTGAAGAATGAGGTTCCACTCAGTGCTACGCAAAACACTTGCCATCGGAGCCAATCCACTTGAAAGTCAGAGCACGAGGGTCGTCATAGTCGGCCCAACGCGGGTTGCATCCTGTGGGGGCTGGGCCCCATCGGGAGGAGGTGGCAGAGGTGGGGGATGGTGAAGAGCAGTGCAGACGGCCATGCAAGAGGGCTCGACGGCGCGGCAGTGGCACTAAGGCGCTGTCGAAGATGCCTCCTCGCTCTAGCCAAGCACAGACCCGCGTCCGGTAGGCCGTTAAGCGTCTTGTGTAGCCGTCCATTGCGCTGTCGGAAGCGATGGTGAAGGGTCGGGGAGGGATAAGTCGAGGCCGGAAGAGACTATCGGGCAGGAGGAGGCGGGAGCACGTTTTGTTTTTTGAATCGTCTGGTAGGCAGACCTAGAGCATGAGGCAATGTGATTAGGAGTACAGGCCGACTTGATCTCCAAACCAAATAGGATTGGATTTTGTTTGCGACTAGGTCGTACTCTCTAATTCAGTCAAGGTCAGAAATGCTGTGTTAAAAAATCCCGAGATTTCGACCTGATCTTGGTCTTAATTCGGATGAATGGCCTTATGAATAGAGCTAATTCAGATCCACCAAATGTGCTGACACGTACTTAGCCTCCGTCCCTCTTTTCCCAGTCCCCAAACAACTATACGGGCACGTCTGATCACGCACCTCCCCTGCCACTCAAACCAGGCACCTGGCCATTCAGGTATTTGTGCTTTCACTAGTTCACCCAAACTATGCGGTACTCGAAACTAGACTGAGCCGTCTGATAGAATGCTGTCTCCACCATCTGTGGCCTTCTTAGTTTTTTCGGGTATTGGCGTGACGCAATCTGGTGTGGGTCTAGATTACACACCGGAGCCTCAGACAACCTTAGTTGGATTTTTATCCCCCGCTTTGCCGCAGTGTCTCAATGCGTTAAGTGAGATTTAGCGCACCTCATCGAAAAATATGGTAACTTAATTATAGTTTTGAATCCTCGTGGAGTATTTTCAGCCCAAGCTTTACGGGAAATAAACTACTAATCCAACTTTTTTTACATTAAAGTCTAAGTTGGTAACAAAAATGCTAAAGGGACAATTATTTGAGGCTTTGGAAATGGTCGCTTACAATAACGATTACGGGCAGCTAAGAATTAGGGATATATTTCCCAAAATTTGCTTGGACCAATTGGGACATTCAGCTTGTAAACTAAACCGTACAAACGATCCCGCTCGTGAATGTTTCAGTCTGGAGTAATTTGCCTGATTTGGTTGACGTCCATAGTGAAATAGAATGAGATCGCCCTCTATCAAGTGTCTTACATGCCGCATGCCTTCGGACTTGGGAGGTCGAATAAACGCGAATTTGGGTGGTAGTAAAATACAGATTCACGTTTGTTCATGGAGTGTGCTAAAATGTTGTTTTGTAAATAAAGAAAAGTTGTGAATACAACAAAGTAAAGTGCGATCCTCATAGGTATTTTTACACTTACTGTAGCACCTTCAAGTCACGTCAAGATAGGCGCTATGCGGCTTTCGTTTAAAAAGTCGAGCTCACAAAAAGCCGAAATCTCTTAAACTGAGTTTTGTGTGAATTTTTCCACAAATTCAAAAATGATGAGACTCTAAGCCATCAGACTCATCTACTACACGTTATTCGCCTGCAGTGCTGGTTGTATTTCTGATTTTTGAAGATACGGTCACGTCGATGAAGCATAAGTTTAGGTACTAAATAAATCAGATTGGTTCTTGTACTCGTTCTTATCTTTCTTGACATTAATTAGAGGTTTGTGCTGCGGCCAACTTTGTTTTTTTTATTAGATTCGATGAAAAAGCATGACAGTACATAGAACATAACAACACATAGCCACTTATTTAAGGGCCTTTTGAAGTCCATAAAACGGAGCCAGTTAATGGTTGGGTGATAAATTCATTTGGTAAATCAATATAACCTTTTATAATTACACTTGGTTTAATCAATACACTGATTAAAATAAGCTATACAACACAGGTATTCAAGCTACTTGTCAGACATTAGTAAGACGTAACTAAAATGTGGTCATACTGATTAGACCAACAGCCCACTGAGTAAAATCTTAATCAGTATGCTTGCAGTAATGTGAATTCTTGCACCAAGAATCGCAAAATGTCATTTGCATGTCCCCCTAGAGTGGCATTTCCCAGCAAACAAGAAAGGTACAGTGCCCATCATAATGTATGACTTGGACCTTAACAGGTCGTTCGTTGGAGTTCCGCGACAGTTAAAACTTCGAAGGTGCAGAAAGCGAGTGTTTTGCCGAATGGCAATACACCAATCATCAACCCATAAGCACCTTTCAATGAAAGCATAGACTTATTTTATAAGTTACATAAGGAGAAGAAACATCGTAAAAATTTATCACCAATGTTCTGCAAAACTAGTTAATATATCAGGGGTTTGAAAACAAAGTTGATGTGCAGAATTATGTTTGGCTTCCCATAGTCAAGAAGGCCTACGGCCGTTTATTATTTAGAATTCAGATTAGACTATGTGGTAAGCAAGCAAAAGTATGGAAATGAGCTATTTTGATAGTTGAAAAGACCCCTCGTTCTGCAACATCACGCGCATTATTACACTGTGATTTAGAGTGTCAGTCAAAATTATTAGATTTTTAATGCACAAACAATATCTTCGATCAAGAAATGATTTTTATTTGCTGAATAAGTTGAACCACTTCGCTCGTCCGTGGACAACGCTCTTCTTTACTTGGAGTGGCCTCTACAGTCATACAAATTTAAATGTTTGTGGCATTCATGGAACAAACGACTTTAACCTACATAGATTTTGGCGGCAGTGAACTTCACAAGAGCCAGCGATAAGAGTATGGCGTAGAGCGCTTCCAAACATAGGGGGAACAGTTTCATTTGCTCGATGAATGTTTCTGCGCATGTACACATAGATCCATACTCATCGCGGCGACATCCTTGCGGCCAGGGCTACGTTTCCCTCCGGGGTCCTACTCCTATCTCGGTTTAATATATTTGGCAGTGTGTGCGTGTAATCGTTTATGCCAACAGCCAATCAGGTGGCTCGACCCATTTCTTTTCGCAATGCAAATGCATGTCTCGTGGCATGCGTCTGCACTCTAGCCAACGTTGTCCTGGTACTTTTTTGCCAAATAGAACACAAAGCTCTTCTCGTGGCTGTAGTACACTAACAGTTTAAACACAATTAAGACCCACGTTATACAAACACTTCTAGGAGAATTAATTTAAAGAACAATTCGACCTGATAGAATAGACAAGATTATCCCGGCGTGGTTTGCCTCATTTTCCGACTTAAAAGTTCATTGTTTTACCTGAAATGCGCAATGAAATTTAAAACAAAACCGTGATACACAGCAGACAGGACGAAGAGATTTCTTTGAGACTGACATTTCAATAGGTTTTCAGATTGCTTTCAACGCCATTTATGTCCGAATCACAAATTCTACATCATGGTTTTCAATAGAAGAATAAGAGTGTCTGGCATAATTCACGCGCGTGTTAACCAAGTTGAAATGATATTACATAGCTAAATATGAAGTTTGCTATTGGTTTTCTCAAAAAATATTTTTGTGATATTAACATCTAGGTTTATACATGGAAAATTTAGACGGTTTATGCTAACTACGAAATAGATAAGGGCCCGTCTGAAGTGACACAATTTATCGCTGATCCCGGAGGACATACTACACTTTTCCAAGACTCCCATTTGTATATCTATCTACTAATGAAGGATATAATCCTATCGGATCAGGTAGCAACGGTAATTTGAATTAGGATTCTACTTTAATGAAAACTCTTTCACTAAATGGTTAGCCAGCTTGGACCCGTTGCGATTCGAACTTTGGTCTAGGTTATCTTAATGATTTTGGCTATAGGTCACTTTTAGGGTTTTAGAAATCGTCGTTGCTAAAAAAGTATGACAACTAATAATTCTCGAGAATAACGTTGACAAAAAAATACGCAATCAGCAAATTTCGAAAACATATTACTGTACCATTTCAGATTAGTTATTCTGAAACAAGCATGCTTGTCGTCGTCTAAGTAACTGCAGGAATACCTTACAGAAGATGTGGACAAAAAAGCAAATTACAAATATTGTCCGAGTCCACATTTGTTGGTTATGTTTTTAAAAATTTCATGAACCACTTATTGCAACCATAAAATAAACGTGCAAACTTCTTCACCTTTCAAACGTGATTCAAGAAAACCCTCTAGAGCAACAATAGTCCATAATTTTGAAAGAAACATTGTATGGTGTCAAATGCGGTCCAATCTTGAAGAAACAGAAATAAATGTTGCGGAGCGAGTGAACCAACTTCCTTAGTCGCGTGTTTAAACCTGTGTAAAAGGCGACGGAATTACGTGTCAAAACACACATTTCAGGTACTATATCCTAGAAGAGGGTGATCGTACGGTTCTCAACACGTTAAAATTACAGTCCTAATTTGCTGACATACACACATAAAGCTCCGCCGGTTCGATTTGTTCACGCCTGGGTCTCTTAATATAAAACGCAGCAATAATTGGATTTTTTGTGTAGACGTACATGAGAACGAAATGCCAATCTGGTTTAGGGACTTTTCTAGAAGGCTGAATGAAGGGTTTGGTTTAATCAAGCGCACGAAACGATGTCGTTAAATTAGGGTAAGTCATTGAAAGTGACTGGAGAGTGAAGAAAACTCAGTCATAACTAATGTAATGAGTTTTTTTTCAAACAACAAATGTTGACCAGTTATAAGATTGAACAGGATTGTCAATCCTTGCAAATAGAACGATAAGATTTAGAGGGGTCTCGAAATTTTACTAACGTAATTGCGACCACCAAAATCGCAGTTAAAATGTTCAAAAAGCGTCAGTCGGCCATTTGCACCAATAAATGGGCTTAACATTAAACTTTGATGTGTTCACTTTCCGAAAGCAGAAATACTAGCTTTTCGATGTGCTTCGTCGACTAAATTCACGCAGATCAAGCAGCTATTTCGATCACTTAATTAATTTTAGAAAACATTTTGTGGAGAAACACATAATGTGAGCATTTTGTCAGGCTGACTAAGGCTTATGGATTATGCTTCAGGCCAATACTGTTGATCCCAGGTTGATCTTGGCAGAGCCTTGTTTGGGGTTAATTTAAACCATCAATAAAAATAGCCATTCCAAATCACTGCAGGATAGAAAAAGATCCGACTATTCTCCGAAAACACAACACATTAACTAAAGTGGGACAACTGGATTGTCCACCGCTGTGCCAGAGTAGAATCTGGGCAACATGCGAGAAATGTGTACTGGAAATGTATGGATAACTAGAGCGGTGCATTACACCTCTAAATTCTCAGTAACGCTAATAAAAGCGGATATTTTGGTTCGTCAGCGGAGTTCGAATTTAAAGTAGTGGTTAAGGACGTTACAAGAAATTAAACATTTTTTTTCTAAATCGAACATAGAATGCCGATAAAAAAGGACTGAAAATGTAATATTTGTGAACCATCAATTTTATTGGGTGTGTTACGAAATTCATAATTGCTGTTATTTGTAGTCATTCGAAATTGCGCTACACTCTCATATTCAGGCAAAGTGAATAAGAAATTGATATCATTAGAGAGTATTGTTACACAAAACCAAAATTTGGTTGCATCTTGCCGACCCAAAATGAACTGTCGCTTTTTGTGGTACTGGCTAGATTTACTCTAATTAATTGAGTGGGAGAATTAAGAGAGAACTTCGGTGTGCCTAAGCCCTACTTCGAAGATCAGGCGGTATCCGTGCTTTGAGGCATGTGCGCTTAGTGGACATTAAGCAACTTTGACTCCCACATAAAACTTAAATTGTCAATTGAACCGAGCATCAGGTCACTTGGCAGAAGACCCAGAAAACGCACCAGAGGGGCTGTTTTCATAATCATCTCATTCGGAATTTACACTGACGCTAGAAACAATTGCTTAAGTCAAATAGTCAACTCCAGTACAGAGTGGACTGCAGTTAGTGACACGAATCTTTTAAAAGTACAGTAGCAGAAAAACTTCTGAGAAAAAATCAGTTATTAAACTTGACCACTCAAGATCAACGCTTAAGACATTTACACCAAACACCACGTGAATATTAGCCCACAGAAGCGATAAAAACGGTTTATTCGATAGGTGCATAAGTTACCCGACAAGGACAAGACAGAGGCTACAGAAACCTACCCTTTGATCAGGATACCTCATTCCTATGGCGCATCGTATAAGTTAAGACCAACTTAAATGCGCAAATGAAGAGGTGATTAATAGGCTTATGCAGCCCATTTGGATCAGAGTGAATTACCATCAGTGGGGTAACATTAAAGGGTTCAACAGCAGAGATGCATTTGCCTTAGTGGTGCTATAGAATTCGCTCGCTTTCCCTATATAAAAGTCAGGTAATACAAGTTTTAAATTAACTGGAAAATGTGCGTAAATACACCAAACTAAACTGGTCGGTCGATTTTTAGGCTTAATAAATTCATCGCAGGGGAAGGATTAGTGCCTAATAAATGTTAATCTGGATTGACAACCGGTGAAAACCGAAACTACTAGGCTTGGTCAGGTAATCAAAGTACAGTTCGGTTTATGTGATAATAAAAGATCAAAAGACATTTCGTGGCATTCCAACCAGGGTATAATTCGAGGGCGGTACCAAGGCCCACGCTCCAAAGGGAAGGGAATAAGCCGCTGAGCCAGCAATCCCACCCCACATTTGTGACGTCAATGATAGGCGGTAGGGGCAGTAGCTAAAACCTTGATTGCAGGAGGCAAGCTGCCACATCATTAGCTTGTGCCGCATCCATCGAGTGTAACTCACGGCCACAGAGCATTCCGCTGCACCTTACTTGGCATTTTTACCCCGGCTCATGTGGTCACCAAGGTGTCCCTTCTTTGTCGACGCAGCCACATCATTAAAACTTACTACCGCGGCCACACTACCGAGACACCCAAGATAGTGGAGAAAGACTCCGATTCCCTATTAAACGCGAGGGTGATGTGATGATAAACGAGGGTATCGGCGTTATGCTGAAAGGCCACCAAGTTTCCCAAAGTCCACCTCCCCAGTCTCCTTGTACTACTAACCGAGAGGTCAATTTCGTTTTTTTGAATTAATGCATCGAAGTTTTCAACATTCACTGGGATGCGCATTTTTAAAGAATGATCAATGTATTTTCGTGATAACATCGGTAGTTCTCCTCACAAGATATTGTAACGAGCCGAGAGTGCTCCAATTAGCTATGAGTGAACAGCTCTGACACTCGATCACCCAACTTCGTTCAAAAATCTTGTGCACAAAATTTTGACGTGAACATGGCTAAAGCACTTTCATGCATGTCCAAAGGACAATCGCTTAGGCTGAATCAGTAGACAGTTGATTGTAAGGTCAAATAGGTTGACACATCAGTCAAATGCGTGCATACGCTTCACAATCTCTAGGCGTCAATGAAGAGTTTTTACAAAAAACAAAACAAAAATAGTGGGGTCGATTTCTGCGAGGCGAGAAGTTGGAAGCAGGGGTGGAGGCCCGTAAAATCACAGTTGTTGTTGCTACATATGACCAGGTAGTATTGGTAGAAGCATTAAAACGAATTCGAGGTTCATGGAGGATTGAAGGGGGCTGCCGATGGCGCAGGTGGGGCAACGCCGACCGCGGTCATCGGGTGGTGCACGTGACCGGTCGAGAGCATGGCCTGAGCCAGGGGCAGGGCAAAGGCCTGGGCCAGGGGGGGTGACGCCGGTGGGCATGGGCTCATGCAAACCAAGGGAAATGTCTTAACGTGGGTTCGCCAACCTGGGGCCACTTGGAAGAAACGCGAAGTCGGCCAGTCCACACCATCGATTGATACTATAAAACAGCAGATAAACATAAGCTTCAGCGGTATGAAGTACTGCATTCTGGGCATAACCAAAGCGTCATGCTGTGGCGTCTGCAATTAATGGATCATCGACAGCCACCCGTTTTATCCAACGGCCAAAGTAAAAAAAGCCGATGCACGGGCAAAAGGAGGGTACGCAAGGACAATGGTGCCGGAGAATGTGAAAATCACCACTGTGAGGGAATAAAATTGGCGTCGAGAGGGACGACGTGTAGACGGATCAAAAGCTCGTTAGGTGGGTAAAGGAAAGCATCTTTTACCTCGAACAAAAACTTGATCTCCAGAGGTGACTGTTTGACCGGATGCGTTTGGGGTGGGGGTGGTGACCAGCCCACAGCCAAGGTCATCCTTTGGTGAGAAGTGGGAGGTGGACCTGGGGACGCAGGCGTCAGGGCGTGCAGTGGAGCCCTCGACGACGACCATAGGGCCGCTGAGAGCTGCCTCGGCGGCCGCAGGGTGGCCCAATCGAGTGGCGGCTGCAGTGCCGCTCTCACACTCGTGGGTGTGATAAATAACGCCCTTGCACGTACAGATTAGCCGAGTAACGCCGTCGGTAAGCTCGGGCTTAAAGACCACCTCCTTGGCGGTCTTTTTGCCAATTCGCATTACTAAAACCACAGAAATCCGTGATCTGTATTAGGGGGAGCGCAACTTCGATACGAAGGGAAAGAACACAACATGCATTACATGATGAATAATAACCGACGACAAGCATGGATAGAAAATATGCAACCTACGCAGCCCAAGTATTCCCCACAGGTCGGGAATCCAACTGATTTGGAGTTGACTTTAAATATTTCGCACCCAATTATCTCGACTTGAGATTTTTACGAGCAAGGGGACTAAGTTTTTGCCCCGAGAGGATTCAGAGAGCTTTAATGTCTTGGCCTCAAACTTGACTCGAACAACCCCATGCACACTATGAACTGAAAGTCGTGCACGGAAATTTCGATCTACTTTCCAATCGCTGATTTTAACAACAAAACTTGGATCGTCTGCATAGTTGGCTGTGAGGTTAATTCTTGGAAATCAAATCGAAATTGTGTCAAGTCCTTAAAGTGAATTCTTTTTTGGTCAAGATATGAAATATTGCAGTCAAGTACTTCTCCGTAATGAAACGAAGCACGCAAAAAAGAAAATACGGGTTACAGTTTGTGCAGAACCAGTAGCACGTGCTATGCGTAACCAGTGGCAATAAAGCTCAACTTCTTATAGCCCTGATCGACTCTACGACGGCGTCTTCAGTTTCGAAGAGGAGACAATACACACACTCTTTCCATCCAATCAATCGTCAATTCTTTGACGCAACATGTAACCGCTAAAGGGTAGTTGTTATTTAGACACACCGACAATTTTGTAGGAGATAAACCTCGACTCCCTATCATAACCAGAGAACGTTAATCAATGTGAATTACAGCATTTTAATTGCTAGTTGTCATTTTGAGAATTTGGCCCGGCCTTGATTACAATCCTGGAGGCCAACCCTCATCTGCAACATGGTTGCCGATTTAAAAGAAGCGAATAATATAAAAAAATTTAATTTATCTAGATCGAAACATTGAATAGAGGCCAGGACGATTTGGAGATGAGAAAAATCATCGGGCTAAAATTTCTACGTAGGCTATAAATGCTAATTAACACAGAAAACAGCAGGGAGTTATAAGCAAATTGAAATTTTAAATTGCCGTGCACAAAACCACTCGAATTTATAGCTGCTCGCGGGAATATCTGGCCTTTCTTAGTAAGACAAACCACCGGATCAAAAACAACAGAATGAGAAACCAATGTCTTTTGGTCCTCAACCATACTACGCATACATTGTCATGGCATAAGTTGCGCTTTTTAAAAAATTCATTACATTGAATGCTTTGTCACAGTTTGATAAGAAAATCTAGGCAGGAAAATGCCCGCATAAGACCATGACAAAAATGCATTCAGCTGCACACCTCAAGCACACACACACACACGCAGTAAATACATCGAGGTCAGATATCTCACTTTTCGGTTTTTTCTCGCGAGTAACCAATGCGAGACTAAGGAAACTGCATGCATTGGGCTGTTGTGGAGTTGCCGTGAGAGGGCTGCTAGCCTGAGCGACGACCATGGATTTGCAGGTGGCCTTGCAGGTGATGGGGCGAGCCGCGACCCTTCCACTGCCACCGTCCGCTCCGCCTGCGCCACCACCACGCTCGTCCTGACCCGCGCCTCCTGGAAACGAGGCTGGCCCCGCGACCGAAGCAGACGACGTCGACGCCCCGCCACTCAGCGTCCAGTACTCCAACTGAAGCTCATAAGTAGGCTTCTCAGGGCTAGTACATGCAATAAACATGCATTACAAAAGCGCGGATTGATAACACTTAACTGACGGGATTGCTTGAAAACGACAAATGACGAATCAAGTTTTGAGCCAAAGTGTCCAATCAAGCGTTCGAAATCGAAATCACAGAAAGCTATATGATTGGTTTTCGACCTTCGGCTAGCACTTGAGTTCGCATGACAACCCTATCATTCGAGAATTGGATTTGAAGTTTGCGGTTTGCTTGATGAGCACAACTACTACACAGGATGAGCTCAAACCCACACATACGTCAAAAGAGCAAGAAGCATGGAGATGGTAAGAAGGAGCGGTGGCAAAACAGGCACTACAAATTGAAGTATTTGCATGGAAAGTAAGTACGTTGGGACACCTTTACATGGGTTTCGCAATGGCTGCACTTGCAACTCTGCATACGTGCTGGCGAAGAAGACAGGTTTACACATAAGCGATGAACAAAACCGCCATATTCAGATAGTTTAAGTGACTCAAGATTAAAGCAGCCGAAACGAGGTTTTTGGAAAGTGCATAAACCCATATTTTATGAGCTCCAGGCTTAAGCTGCATCAATCCAATCATGTAGGTAGGGATAGCTCTTTAGGCCACTGAGAAAACAACTAATCTCATATTGAGCCGATAATCACAGAAATCAAAACCTGCCCATTGCACTAGGTATTTTATAAGCACAGGTGTGATTTAGATTTCTCTGACATGAGACGCTAAATTCGAATGCCCGAAGAACTAAATGGTGGGTATTATGACAGAGTGAGCAACCACCACAAAAGTTTAATCCCGAAATTTTTTATACAGGTGCCAGCATTTTAACAGCACTCATTTTGCAGCAGACCCGTCACTAGGATGGTCCCCCAACTCACCCTCCGAGAGGTGGCCGAGTGGCCGAGTGCGGTGCGCTCGGGGGGTGGGAGGACTGCGAGTGGTCACCGCCGCCGCCGCCGCCGGCGTCGAAACACGTCGACACTGGCGATATTGGGCCCTGCACCGCCCCCACCCCCGCCTCCGTGGGGTAGAAGCAGCTTCGCAGGATGGCCTCGCCGCCTAGGCTGATGCAGAGCAAAAACGGCACCAGAGTCTGTTGGCCTGATTCATCCTCCAAATTACCACTGCCGCCTTAAGTAGACCGGGGAAAAAGTCACGTCTGTGCTTATCCAATGAGTTGACGAGATTTAAAGCAATGCTGAAGCAGTCAGACACTAACGAAAACATCACATGACACGACAGAATTGAGGTTTAGATTGAGAATAATGCTAACTTTTATAATCTTTACCTAAAGCCCCAAAAAGCTGTCATTTTACTCACTTATTATTGGCTGAGATAATTAAGGGTAAGTGGCTCGCCAGTGCCAACTACGGAAAAGGGAAAAAACGACGCGTGGCGGTTACCTTGCAGTCCGAACCTAGAAAAAAGCTAATGAACACAAAAACAACAAAACAAAAGCATTTCAATGGGCAGCATTTAAGCTTTACAATTATTGCATTACGATTGCTTTCCAGGAGAGCTCTTTGAAAAACAAGGAACCTGCCTTCTCATGCCCTGTGAAGTCGGCAAACGATATTGAGAAGCGATAGGCCTGGGTGAGTACATAAATGTGCGTAACAATTGAGGGCACGCACATGATAAGTTTAGAAATTCGACAAGTAAATTTCGTAACCTCTAACACAACCCGTATATCAAATTATGTTATTGGAAAAACCCTTCTATGTAAACGTTAGTCGAGGTGCGTAGCACTTGGTGTCCGCTTCGTGCCGAAAACTCAGAGGAAGAGTTGTTGCATCATGAGAGCATTGTTGGCACATGCTGCATGACAGACACCGGCAGAAAACATAGGCAATGAGTAGATCCAGAACTTACCCATGCTCTTAGTACCGAGGGGAAGGGGTGGATTGAAGTCTGGAAGCAGACAAGATGAAGCGGCCTGGTTTGACGGAGCACCGAACGGGGCTCCGGTGGTGATGGTGGTGAAGCTCCTTGCACCCGCCACCAGGCACTCACCGATGGGCAGCGAAAGGAGGCTATCAGCGTTCGTCAGGTAAAGCACAACTCGCCTGACAAACTCATCGGGTGAGCATGGAGAATCGGAGGGCACATGTTTTCCCCTTACGGGAGTCAGTGCAGTATCCTGTGGGTCGACACTAGAAGGCGAAACGTCGACAACTGCTAGGCTTCTAAAGAGCAGAGCGTAGCGCACATCCAGGCCACAGAGACGCTGTGAAATTAGATTGGAGAGAGGCGAGAGGGAGAGCGGGATGGTAGAATCTTGCAGTAGAGATGGTGAGCCTGAATAAGGCAGTCGGATGGGATCTGCAACACAAAAGAGAAGGCGAAAAATAGATTCCGAGTGGATATGGAAATTCGACTCTGAATTAACTAGACGGATTTCACACACGCGAACCGTGTGAATTTGAACAGCTGACCTCAGTTCCCACAGGTACCTTATTAAGAAATATTTGACATTATCTGAATCTTATTTTCTGGAATGGTCACGGCGGTGGATTAAACTATTTCATTCACTAAAAAAGCAAGCACACAATCATGACCGCTGCATTAGAGCTAAATACTAGGTCCAAAACGCATTCACTAATCCATGGAAAAGAACGTCTGACGGTATTGGTGTAGATCTCCAAAATTACGAAAAAAATATGGCATTAAAGATGTCACAAATAAATTCGGATATATCTTCACTGTAAGGGCAACGCACTATATCTAAAGGCAAAAAATTAGTAAATCGTGACTCAAAAAATCATGAGTTATGGAATCAGGATGACAAATACCACAAGCATGGCCTTCACATAATTCACTTAAACGAAGTATGACTTACAGACGCCATGAACAGAAAGTGCGCAGTAGCAAGGCAGCCTTAGTGAGGACGTACCGGTTGAATGGGAAATGGGGGGGAGGGTAGTAGAGGTGGAGCGACGCCGGTGGCTTCGCCCGACGAGGCCGGAAACGGGGACTAGGAAGAAGCGGAAAGCTGCTGCAACGGATTCTGAACGAGCGCCGACGAGTTCAACGTAGGCACGGAGGACGGCGCTTATGAGGGTATCACCGCCCACAACACAGAAACGGACCCACCGACTCCTATCAAGATGCAACTGGGCCCACGAGACAAGGCCGCTCATCACTTGTTTCACCTCGTTGAAGGACGAGACACGGGCGAGCTTACAGCAACCGGCTTGTGTGAGGGCTGCGGCTGCGACCTAAGCATAACAAGTCCACGCAAAAGTCCAAAGAGTAGGTGAGGTGAAATCCCAGATTTCAAGCACACGATCATACTTAATACCTGCGCAGAGTGATTATCGCAGCTCAATACCGAAATGCATGACGCGGCATATCCCTCTAATGGCATATTCGCTTACACTGCAACAGAAGAATACTAACATGTCACACGTAGCACATTCAGGGCTGAAAACTGATAGTTTGGTCCAGAAACATGGACTATTTAATTTTAAGGCCTCGGATTGCTATTCACCCTAAGAAATTAGATCTGGACGTGGTGCAGAATAACGCAGAGCCCCATAATGGAGATGGAGACCACTAATGAAGTAACATGCTTAGTGAGCGTCCCGAGTCACCCACACTCGCAATCTGTGGGGTCGAGAAACAAAGTAAGGAACAGATCCTAGAAATGGTAACCAAACACGAACCACACCAAAAGCCAAAACGCGAAAAAAGAAGATAACACCATTCTGAAGTCGATCTAGAGCAAGTGCGAATATTCGGATATGCGCAAAACAACGAGACTTAAATGATCTGATCGGGGATCAGAGTTTTGGTGTGGAGATTTCACTAAAAACCCCAAATCGAACCTTTTTTAACCGCTGAGCCGAGACGAAATTGGGTTAGTAATCAGTGCTGACGCCAACGCTTATCACTCTTTGTACAAACGAACAAACTAACTGTTAGATGAAGTTGACTGTGTAGTTTTGCCGCCTACATGAAGAACTGGAATTTCTATCAAAATTCTTATCCAGATGCCACGTTAAATGTGGTGCCAAGGTTCCCATTAAAGATGAAAATTCAAACAAACTAGCTTTTGATGGGTTAGGAGAGATGAGAAGTCCAGAGGATGATTAGCACACAAAGACTCGCGACGTGAATGTTGCCCGTTGACAAACAAAGACAAAAGCTTTAAGACTTCCTGTTAAAAAGCTTCCCCGCACGATGAGCATATTTGTTAAATTCTTACCTTTCCACCAGGTTCCAAAGTGTTGACGATAAACTGGACATCACAAAGAGAATCAGGGAGTGAGGGAATTTCAGTATTGACAAGTGAAGACGATTCCACCCCAGTTTCATTCTAAAATCCAAATGTAAATAAAAAGTAATAAAAACTTGTGCCAAAACTCCACACGACAGGACAAAGGCATGATTAAGATGAAATTTCACTGTCCTCTAAAACAACGTAGTCAAAACTGAATGTGTCGAGTTACATGATGCGTGACCCGCCTCTTCTTTCATTTATACCCGGTAAAATTAAACACACAGAGACAGGCTTTTGAGTTGCTTTTTACCCGTTGTGCACAAACCAACGAAAATGCATCAACATAAGTCTTGATAAGAACAAAACCCCCTTGAATGCCCCTATTCTATAAGTCTTTTTCAGAAGTATTTAGTAAAATGAAATCTTGAACAGTCAAACACACAATGAGAGATTTGCACCAGTGATTGGCTGCACCAATTACAAAGGGCACGCGGCATTGAAAAAAGGTTAATTGGAAAATCAAAGGGTGTAAAAAGCAGTCTGTTTTTTACAAGGGCATTTGTCAAGACATACGACGAAGCAGATAATAGGACTGCACCGAAAATTATGGACCTTGACATTTGTTAAAGGTAAATAATGGAACAAGGAAACGGACGGTCAAATGGTCCAGAAGATAGGATTCTTTAAGGGCGAAATTAGCAAAATTAGTTTTCATTTGCCAAATCTCAAGGACAACACTGAGCAAACAGTTGCGACCTGCTGACAACAGACTGACACATTTACCAGGTATGGCTATGAAAATGAACTTTCGAAGCTAAAATAGACAGGAATTGCTAAATTTGCCCGGTTCAGAGGAGAAAGGTCTGACACAGACGCAACTGATCCGATTAGCGTTGACCTGCCACGTTTGCTGCTGTCTTTGATGGACAGCGGTCTGAACACCAGTCGCATTTCTGCGCATAAAATACAGAGGGATTAAATCAAAAAGGCCATAAAAAGAAGGACTACATGGTCGAAGAGCACACAGGTTCCTGTGATCAAAACATACGGAATCTGATAAGTCGTCATCAGCATTAATGGGATGGAATCGCGCGGAGCTTTTGAGATGGCTTTGGTTTTCGCTGTGACCATTAGTAGAAAACAAGTCCTTTGAGACACTGGTAGATGGTGAGGCCTGTCGACGTTTACTTAGGGGGGCGGTGCGACGCATCTTTGTTGATCCGAAACGCGGAGAGAATTTGGCGGCGGCACTGGCGCCATTTGAGCTTTGTGCGCGGGGTTCGGAGTCCGCTGACATGGCAGGCCTTGGTGAACGCTGCTGGCAGGTTTGGGATGACGGAGTTGACGACTGACCAGTGACTAACAACGCTTCTTTCTGTAGGCGACGCAGAAGGCGGGCACCGGCATCCTACAAAACAAGTTGCTTGGAAAATAAGGTAAATAGTAAAAAGCGATTTAAAAACAAGCAAGGAAGCGGTTGAGGAGCCAAAAATTGACAACGTAAAGTCAACTTAATCAGTTATTTGATGATGAGGTTCATCTACGTCATGGGTTTTTACGCCGGGCCGAGTATCCAGGTGATGATGATGGGAGGTGCAAAAAAAAGATTATCGGATAGCTCCCGGTTTCGCTTAGTTGATCAATTTTTACAGAACAGCAAGCGAAAGTGCACAATTATCAAATATCTATAGTTTAATTTAGGTTTTGCCATTCATGAATAAATGAGGCCTTTTTCACTTCGGTCCAGATGCTTCGTCAGTTGTGCCAATTCGCCACTTGAAACACCTCCTTAAAAGTCACATCAAGATTGCATAAAATTTTAAAAGTGGCTACTTTCGGTTAATCAATCGGCAAAACAAAGGAAATCGTAATTGACATTCCTCAGCAATGGGACAAAGCCAGTAATGAAAGGTTAAACAGGCGCTTGTGTTTAAGTGCTAGACATGAAGATAGGGGGATGGAACTTCCACCAAGCTTTTCCGCTGCGTGGATTACAATCAGGCATAAAAGTGGGGTTGGGAATGTGGTGGGGTGGATACAATTAAACAGGATTTTGACAAAATATTGACCAAGGCAGGCTATAAGGAAATGTACCACACGGTATCCGTTATGTAGATTTGTGCGTTTTTCACTTGATTAGCCTTGTTGTAAACAAGTGAAACGACGTTGTGGCTGTAAAGGCATGATTCTTTGCCAAATAAAACCACGAAGCGTTGCGCAGAATGCTAATACAAAAGTGAGAAAGCACGTTAAATTGGGGAAATGAATTCAATGGAATAGCACAAATTAATAGCATTTGCATGTTATAACCAGAAACTATGGTGATTCATGTTGAAGTAAAAGGAGCATTAGGTGTCCTTTACATTCACCATCGATTATAGGCACCTCATGCGAGCCATCCACGGTCAAATGGGCGTGTCATCAAAGGTGGCGATAACGAAGACTCTCGGCTGTGCAAGCAACCCCACAAATCGGGTTGCGGTGAGTTGTGAAGAAGAGCGCAGAGACAAGGAACGGGATGCTTACCAGACTGAGGGTCTCCTCAGAACTCCCTGTGTGCCCAAAGAAGGGTCGGATGGAGGGTCGCGGAGCACTCTGCAGGGAACCCGATTCGGCGGTTCCACCGGTTTCCAAGTCGGAGTCCTCGACGTCACTGATTGCTTCCATTTTATCAATTTCGTCCCATAAATGCAACGTTGTTCCCGTATCGATATCCTGATTAGAACATAAAGTGTGCACACAAAGGTCAGTTAAATAACAAATCTTGCAAATTATGCGCCTAAAGAGGTCTAAATTCACTGCGTTCGAATTTACACAATAGGAATATACAGTTTGATAAAAGCGTACAAACGATTAATATCCATTTCCCGGGATTTGAGATAACGTTCAAAAGAAAAAAAACACGCAGCCGAAAAGGAAGATTAGATACAAAATCAGGACAAAATGCGAATTGATCAACCTGGAAATTATAAAACCCCGATTAATTAAAAAAAAATTAGAGCCATGCCAGTACTGATAAAAAGGCCCCCGGGTCCCAAGGGCTTTTTACAGTGCTTGTGTGATCGAACGAAAGGGCAGACAGCTGCGCGCCCAGCCTGCAGGCAGTTGGAGAAAAAATAAAACATCTTATCGCGTCATTACCGTGGGTTCCATGAGACAGTCAAGTCAACTTGTGCGAGTTTATGTACACTAACGCAAATTGCATTGGTGATTTTACACTGGTACACCAAACCAGAGAGATTTGGATTTAGAGTGGCATACGTCTTGAGCATAACAAAGACGTCATGTTATCTGGGCTTTGTGAATGTGTCTAGATAGGCGCTAGTAAAATGAAAACGCATCTTTATTGAAAAAAATCATGAGATAAACGACAGGACACTGGATAGTACTTTTTTGGTTAGGCAGCGACTAGTTACAATAAAGCTGCCAAACACAGGCGATAAAAAGGTAACACAGCTAAATAAACTAATACGACGTCGAGCCACCAATACTTAAGCCACGAAAACAACAAAGTGATGTGTTGGCATAATTTATCAAACTGGTTACAACATGAATAGTAACCGATCGCCTACTCGAAACATGGTTAGGTGAATAGACGGTCATCCGCACGCAGATCTGGAGATCTTGATAGCCTCTTAGAGTACTTGCACGAAATGGACTACGGAAGCTTGACTTGGAGCATCCGAGGTCAGAAATGCATTTAGCCAGCTAATTCCACCTTTTATCCACTAATCAAGATGACAGTGGGAGAGATAAAGGGGGAAGTCGACACCTCGAGAGGTACTTCATGAGACCGCGTACCACATAAAATTGGGAGACTTTATTCAGCATCTCAGCACGGGATAGTTGTTTCAACCAAGCGTTTTGCAATAAAGGCAGCGAAAATCATAATTTGGGAATTAGATTGGGGTGTCAAAATGTGGGGTCATGTAGGCTTATGTCCGAATGATTAGAATCAAGTTAATTAACATCTAAGTAGTACTTAGCCTCGACAAGTCACCAACAGGCTAAACACGTCAGTCTAGGGCTCAAGATGCCACCACTTTATTGTTCGTTTGCTTCACAGTCAAGGGCTCTCGAATGTCGGCAGAAGAGCGCTTGCTTCAAGCAGTACTAATACAACAGAGAATTAGGGAACATCCACCGCATGTGGGGTGAAATTTCACCCCGTCAGAGCAGCTTGAGGTACCACAAGCATTTACACATCTGCATTCCTCGTAGCCGGCGAGCGCTTGACCAAGGCTACTTGGTTGTTTTGATGTGAGGCAGGATATGCGAAGAAGTGAGGTTAACAGGTCAAAACCACAACAAAGGCAGGGCGAATCTGGAAATTGAAACGTTTGGTTCTACGTGTCACTCAAAAAATTCCATACAAATAAACTTCGGCGATGCTTTTACCGAGAGCCAACGCAGAAAAATTATTGTTAGACTTGCCTCATTGGGGTCCGCCACCTTGAGTCGTTTGAGGAGGCTGACAACTTTTTGTTTGATTTGCTGTTAAGGCAAAAAACATTTATGAAAATTGTGTTGACACTTGAGCCTGATAATGCTAAGAGTCTACGGTGCGTTGTCATAAATTATGGAAATACACGAAAATGCAAGAGGAAACACAGTTGGAGAACAACTTTAAAGTGGAGAACGCCCACGATTAATACCTGCAAAGGTCCTGTCAGATACACAGACTTTGCTCAAGCATTAGCTACCAGAGGTGAGACGGAGGGTTGACGTGGGCCGAGCAAGGTCACGTTTGCAGTGAACAAATAAAGTGGCAACACAGCAACGCGATCTCCGAAAACCATGTTCATAGAAAAGATGCTCGCGGTAAAATAAAGTGCTGAATGGGGGAGATATGATTGATAATGATGGAAAAGGTACTGAAACACAGACGGCCAACATAGAATCGGCTGTGTTCAAGAACAGAAAAAAAAACATGAACGCTTATGACGCAGAACACTGCGTTTAACAATACAAAATATTTTGACGCAAACTTTTGGCGCAGAGGCGACTACTAATGGGCAAGTAAACAGCGAGCCGGGCTTTTTGACGCCCGGCGCGTTCGCACACCGGGCTACACCGAATGGTATTTTTTCATGACGAAGCGTGGAAATCTGGGTAAGCAATGCGGCCAGGTGGTAGATAAAGCTAAAGGTAAAAACGTGTACCTGTTCAAATAGGGGGACATGTTACCTGCTATATGGCTCCGTTTGTTCAGAAGGATAAGAAAGTGTAACAAAGCTTAAATATTGAGCAGCATTAGCACTTGTACAGATAACCAATAGCAGTAATTTATGTCTGCAATCATTAAGGCTCAGAATGTGTGTCCGTAGTTTGGGCTTTCAGATTAAAGGGGAGATAAAGGTGCATGCGTGTGTGCGGCATGGTCACAGTTTGGTGCAACCAAGTATACCATTATGGGGGATAGTTGAATGAGAAAAAACGGCGAGCCGACAAAATCATCAAAAGACCCACAGAGACGAAAATAGCACCAACGCGTTTTGTGGCCCTCGCAAAAGTATGCGGTTCTTTCAAAGCCATTTGCGGTTATTTTTCGGCCCGTTGCATAACAACCCAGGTAACAGCTTTGTTGCCACGTGAGAGACAAGCCACATATCGCGATTCCATAAATAGCCAAGCTAATTGCTTAACTTGACGAATTGATGCAGTCGACTGCACTTCAAAAGAGCGTAGATTGAACCAAAGAAGACAACGATTTGTGCGAGCAACATGGCTAGATAAAATTTCATTGAAAGTACGCGCACACTCAAAGGAGAATAAAAAAATTGAGGTGGGGGGATAATGAAAACCACAACGATTGTTGCCATTTTACCGATCTCCATTTCATCCGCGCCAGCAAGTTGCCATGCAATCCAGAGCTATTGGTCCGACCGGGGAAAACCCAAATCCACACTCCCCATACCTTCATCCACAGACATCACAAGCAAAAGCTATTTTACTACGACAAATAGAAGGCATTGCTAATTACAACAAAACCAAGAAGAGGACGAGGTTTTGAATTCATCCAATAAACGTCGTCGCCGAGACTAGCACGATTGTCTAAAGTCAATGTTAATTTAACTTAAAATATAAGTTGACTAGAGGAAAAGGCTTGACTTCTGTCACGTTGACAGTTGTGACTGACTGAAGGATTACAAAAAATTTCGAATTATAGTCGACTGCGAATCCGGTTATTGGGTGTTCCATTAACGATTTCATCCAACAAGACTTTATGCTTGAACAATCGTGAGAGAAGCTAGGCCTCCAAAGGCGGCACCACTCAGACATACGCCGTGTGGTTACAAGAGATCTCAGCCGTCAACTACTGAAGCCATCTTTACCTTGACATTATATTTGATTTTCGGATGTGGGTGTTCCACAATAATTTCAGATTCATCCGATTTCTGTGCTAACCTATGCAGGTTGATGGAGGTGGAGCTCATGCAGGAAAAGCGTCCAAGCACACGTTGCTAATGTGACGAAGGGTGACCTTTCAACTTGCTCGAAGTCATGTTAGGTGTGGAGTTAATTCACCCGGTAAAAAGTGAGTTGTTGTAGACTTGAGGGCAAATGCATTGCTGGTTGTGCTGGGAAATAGTTAATCCATTGACTAGAATCCAGCACGCGGGAAAGCAAACAACAAAATAGGCAATACACCAGAAATGAGGTGACAGTGTAGTGAGTTAGCGTGATTCTATGCGGTTCACCACCATGAAACAGATACTGTGGCTAGCGTTTGTCGCGCAGCCTTCGGTCACGTGAAAACAATTAGGCGGCTGGTTCTTGCAGACAAGGCGTCGCACATTTCACCACCTGCAACACCCAAAATAAAGCAGGCTTACGGTACTAAGCAAACACAATGGAGCGAGAAATCTTGTTTAAGGTTGAACTGATCAGGAGCTATGACGTCGTGGAGGAGGTTCTGCTAAACTTTTAATCGAACCGCTCTCCTACTTTTTAGAGAAACTTTCATTTCTGTGCTACTTAAGGTAGCAGCAACGAAGGATTTTGGAATAAATTCATAAAATACCACGGAACCCACTGACGGTAAGAACTTTAACCAATGACGAGTGCATATTTGACAGAGTAGTTATAGTAGCTCGAATCAATTTGCTTTTCATCAGTTTTTACTCGCCATCATAAAGGCGAAGACAGGTGACAGGAGACCTGCAGATTTAATGACACTCTGATACTACCTTAATAACGACGAATTTCAAGCTAGTTGGCTAAAATCAATACAGCAGAGGGCGTCATTTAAAACAAGATGACTTCTTTCGGGTGAACCGCCGGCGCAAAACTTCATTGTGAATCTTTGAAGGACCAGGTAAAACACCGAATTTGCGGTTTTCGACAGCACTAGGGGAGAGAGCCACTCACAAGCAATAAGCATAACAAAATCTGGAATTGGTTAAAACAGCAAACGGGAAGTGTAATATTTGCCATGTTATTCCCCGTAACTCCATGTTGTACTACACTGACTGCCGTTAGAGCACTTTTCAATCCGTACCTCAGCAGTAAGCATTTAGATCAATGTATGTCTTTACTGGTTGACATTTATCGTTTACACTGTCTAATATTACAATATTTTTTCTGTTTAGGATAACAAACGCACAGCTGTTTACGTAACGGATCTTTGTTGTTTTTCTACGACGTGTTTGTCTGCCGATGCTGTTATTTACACGAAGTCTGTCCCGTTGAGCATCAACAAAATCCAACAGTGGTCCACATGAAGTTTCGAACACCTTAACATTTTATGTCTGCTAATCGAACTTTAAAAAGCGCAGCTAATTGTGCAAAGTTTACAATTGATTGGTTAGTGGAGGTGAGTCTACGCCAATGCAAGACAATGACACTAAACACACAGTTCCTGGCCATGAAAATAGCAGCAGGGGGAATTAGAGCTAGGTGAGTATGACACAATGGAAGAGCTGATACCATCACCCGCTGAGGTTAACCCAATTGATTAGCTGTGGAACGAACTTAACACGACCATCCAACCCTTGTCAGCACGCTGTAGGATGAACAAGGAAAGTCTTGACGAAAAATGGCGCTGACAGTTTCCCACGTAATGATTTTACGGGTAACAAGACTAATGGAGGGGTTCCTTGACGTGAAGTAGGTGAACGTGTAGCAAGTAATTGTTAATCGAGTAATAGAAATTGAAGTGCATGTTACTTGAACTGTACTAATGAGGCGGGAACCAGAAATTAAATTATTACCTCCAAAGTCATAGAACTAGTCAAGTGCCGCGACAACAGAAATGTGAGAAACACTTGGGGGGGGGGTTTAAAATACACATGAGAAAATGCATCCTGGGAATGGAGTCGATTCTAGTCAATTTAGATCACAAACGCACCAGGCAATTTGTAGTGATTATGGAAAGGTCTACACATTAGTGCAGTTGGATCCACGAATTGACATTGAGAGTTATTCAAAAGCCAGGGGGAATGCATGTCAAATAGTCAGTTTGTACACACAGCCATTGTTAAAAGAAAAAGTTGAAATTGGACTAGCAAAAAAACTCAAAAGATTGATGGAATTAAGGGTAATAAAAGGAACAACATAGAAACGGACAAGTAAGTTCCTGTTTAGCAAACTTAACATTGTAGTCGCGGTTATGCAAAGACCGCTGTCATGACTCCCTCATACTGGCTTAACCGTCAACGGCAAACATGTCAGAAACAACGAGCAACAGAGACGGTTTAACGTTGCAAATTTTTTTTTGTAATCAACGGGCAGTGAGTGCACAGATATGGGCATGAAAACCGCAAAACATGGTGAACGAAGTCTACGAACAAAGTAAAAAATGACCACAAGTAGCGCGTAACTGCTGTGATTGTGACTAGCATGCAGGGTCAATACGTGAGACCGAACACCTACCTTTTGCCGTTGCCAGTTCATTCGCACTGGATGCTAAACGGTCATGCAAAATTTGGGCGTTAAGGTGCACAAAACAGGTTGAATGATTTTTAAAGAGATCTAGCCAACAGGAAGCATGCGCAAGAGAAAAGAACTCGAAAGAGAGAGAACAAGCATTATACTGATTTTGGGAGATTATAGAGTGTAATATACTTGCAAAAGGACCACTTCAGTGAGTTGATTCAAGTTTAGACACAAAGCTAGTACTGACTGCGAAACAACCACAAAGAGGCTGGAAGGATTTTACGATCACCGATTGGGTCTAACCATTAGGCTGAAATGAAGTTAACGAATAGTAACTATTGGATCATGACAGGTCAAACACTTACTCCAACAGACATGGGCTTGAGAACCTTCTTTTGAGCTCTACGATCGGCGTTCGCAGATGCCGCGGAGGGAGCAGACACAACTCGATCACAACGACTTGCATCGCCTTCTTCAACTCCATCTTCCATTTCTTGATCTTCGCTATCTGACTCGTCATCGAAGAAGACGTCCGCGGGAAGCAGACAGCCGTCATCCAAGCACCCATCTGACTCAACCTCACCTTAAAAATACCGGCAGAATAAACCCATTGTAGGTTTGTGTGTCTGTTAATAAATACATTTCCTACTATGCACGGTACGCAGCCCGACATTTGTAAAGACGCAATTTCGAGCAATTCCTTTGCCAGATAAAACAAGGTGTGATTCTAGTTTCGACAAGAGCCCTCATTACTGTGCAAAACAATGCCTCATCTAGGACAATCCTCCGTCTAGAGGTCAAATCACAAAGAGGCAGAAATTCGTTAAATGATAAGTGGTCTTAGCAAGACAAACCAACACACGAATTATTATTCGCTGGCAACCGTGGAAACGGCTCGAAGAACCAGGATGAGGCGGGCGACATAAATGCGGTAGTGATTTGAAATTACGGTATAAAATACGCAATCGTCTTCTTCAGATGCTCACAGTATAGTAATATTTGTGCCAAAAATAAAGGCACGGTATCAGTTTGGATGGAGCGGTATAATGCATTTTATCTCCATATAATAACCACCGCTTTGCTAAGCACTTTAATGATAACTGTTATGGAAACTATAACGCATTTAATTTCATCGAGAATTACAAATCTGGCAATAAATTTAGCAGATTTGTTGCCTACGAATTGTGGCTCGTACTACATCAGACTGAAAATAACCCGAAAATTTTACACCAGACACCGCATCACAACTAGGCACTAGTCTAATTTAATCTAATCGTATTATTTACAAACAAAACCCAGTTGGAGAGCAATTGAATACTCTCACCACAGACTACACACACACATCAAGGATTAAGTGTTAGGTTAAAAACTGCCTCTACACAGAACACTTACTGACATTCTTCTCGGGATGATGAGGAGCAGGAATGCAAAAAACTATGGGAGAATACAATAAACTGGGCTAAGCTCTTCTGTAGCAAAATAATACAAAACCATTTTATTTGAAACCTTTAGAGTAGGGCGACCACCAATGAATTTTGATTATCCGAGCGGATACACTGACAAAAGGAAAACGACTCGTGTTGAAGTCATAAGTCTGGCAGAAACTGTGCGTTTCCGCGCAACCTACAATTTCAATAGGACCAGGTTGCACGCAGAGATTCAGACAAAACGAGCCCGACTTCTACGTGGCTTTACCCCAGGCATGGGCAGTTGACCTACACCGCAAAAGCATCCGTCACTGCTGCTGCGTACGTTGCGTGCAAAGCAATATGTATTCAAGTCTAAATGCTGGGCTTCAAAATTTTAGGAACCGAAGGGATGTCACCTTAAACCTGGGGAAAAGATTCACAGCTGCCAAGGTTGGTTAGTTTTACTCCTATTCGCACCTGGAAGTAGTAATGCTAGCACAACTTCGTTCATACTAGCAAAATGGTAAAATTCGAACAAGAATTGTTGAGAAAAGAGGGAATCTAATGTCCCACAAATGATCAGTTACGTCTAGAACATACTGAGCAGTCGAATATCAAAGTGCTACAAACACAAGCTAAGGTGATGAGCAGCATTGTTTTACAAGAATAACGCGTTTAAAAAAAAGGTATAACAACATGTACCAATTTTTAGGAGAAAAAATGTTGACCAAATGCTAAGGAACACCCATGGGAGAGTTTTGGGGTATGTCTGCACCTGACAGCGAAAGTAACAACTTGTGAGTTAGGTCCGTCACAAGAAACACTCCCAAATTTCTGTTTTTATTGGTGAAGCAATTCGTGAAAAGACATAAAACTAAGGCCGTTTTCTACCACAAGTATTTACAAAAACAGCCAGTGAGTTGAAAATGATGACACAACGATTAAAGTGATTTGACTAGTAGATGAACCAGACCGCAAGCAATAAATCGAACGTAGATTATGTAGGGAAGTGAGTAGAGTGGGGAAGTGCGAGCAGTTGAGTAGATTATTGGAAAAGACAAGGTGGACAAAGGTGAATGCCAAAATCACTGTGCACGTGATTTAAAGCGATCTGCGTAAGAATTAGGTTTTCCGGTAATTATGATTGCAATTGTACAGTCTCAGATTAACAGGATCATCAGGCTCGGACGATTTCACATGTTTTGGCTCATATTTTAGCGAAATGTTTTACAATTCATAAAGACAACCAGGAATCTCAATAGTGGGAGCCTCCAGATTTGCAGTGAACGGGCGTGAGCTAATCTGATGCCAATGACTACCGATTACAGTTAGTAATTGGTAATCACTTTCACGCACACCTGTTAAAAGACACATGGCTGGTCTGATAAAAAAGAAACTGTCCTATCCACTGTCGGGCTGTCAGTGGGGTGGAGTAAGCGAACCACTACGATTCACTCGACGAAATTTACAATGGTAATGATGACTTGATGCACTTTAAAGATCAAAAGCATCAAGGAACGCTCCAAGATAATGGAGGCTAACCAACCTTTGTGTCCAGCATTAACTGGATCGCGCTCCCAAGGCACAGTGCATATGCAGTTTACCTCCATTCGAGCTATTGGAGAGCCGATGCACTTAGGATCGGGATACATATCCAGAAAGCGATGTTCAATGCGCCGTTGTAGGACCTGAAAAAAGATTCATTGAACACTTCGAGTTGGCCAGTCAACCACTTCCAATTGTGCCACCAACAAGATGGGCACCATGATCCCAGTAATGGTAAAAGCTGGCAACCAATAGAAAACCTAAACCATACCTCACACGCTTTGTGGCCTTTGATAATGCCACAACGAAACAAGCTCAGTTCGCGGCTGTATCTCTTAGTATGTTTACTAAACAAGGTGCTTGCGAAGTAACAGCCAACATTCTATTGATGAATATTTACGAAAAAGTACACCGCTATCACGTTGGGAACTGTGAGTTTTCATAGAAATAGAGAACGCTAACTTCCAGAGCTAAAGGTAGTGTGACCGAGCAATGCAAATTTAACAAGAAATTAGAATTAGTCACAGCATGACTTAGCTGTTGCATAATTAAGTCGAACCAACTGAAAGGCAACATGGGGATGTGGCATGAAGACAAAGATGGCACATGGACGTCTGAAGTGCGTATGGTGGAAGCAGTGCAAGCGAATGAAAAATCTGTAAATGCAGAAACTAAGTACCTGTAAAGGAGCACAACATTCAAGGATCTAAACCCAATTAAGAAGCACCTCGAAAAACAGGAAGCATAACCAACAAAAATGTCGGGTGATATGGGAAACAGGGATTCGTGAGATTACTAATCATGCCTAAAATCGCACCAAAACAATAAACTGATGTGTTGAGGAAGATGTGGAGCACTGATGATTTCATCTAGTGACAGAGGTCAAAACGAATACCAAGATTCAAACAGCCATTAGGGTTTTTTAAAAGGGGCTTTTTGAAAAAAAAATACACAACGTCCAAAGATGGAAATATTATGGCAACTTTGAGCAAAATTACAGACTGTGTCAACTATCAATGCAGGCAAGAAAAATCCCAAAGCATAAGGCGATCGGAGAAGGATATAGATATAATTGTCCAATTTATAATAAATAAGCTTGAGGAGGAACCAAAGCACGGCATTCAAGTGTGCCATCCCACGCATACCCTCGTGAACAAAACCAAATTATCGTGATTTTGAGTATGGTGGTTGTTTAACACGGACCATGTCCTGCATAAACCACGAGAATTTCGTGATGTGGGTGAGTGCACACGGCATACAATCGGGTTAGTCGATGCTGAAAATCACTAACACATTTCATTATAAACCAATTTCTGCATTTGATTTGTTCCCTCATAACTAAATCATGAAGTAAATACCGAAGAGAAAAGGGAAGGTTCGATAAAAAAAAGACTACTTGCACTCCCAGATGAAACAGGGATTTATGCCCCAATTGGAAAATAATAAATAGGCACAGGACATGAATCACCCTTTTCACGGTTACTTCACAAGTTTTGGGGTGTGGTAGAAAGATGAGAATAACGTGTTGCCAGAAGCAATAAATAATCGTTAGAATCTGTTTCATGGTTAGTCCGCTTACTCATTTTCATGGAGTTGTACGATATCAATGCGCCTTTTCCTGCACAACAGTGCGATGGCTACATAAACCTCGAACAGTATAAAATGACGGCAACATTCGACGAATTCACAAGAAATGCAGGTGTTTACACGCAATATACTTTAGAGTCATTAAAAGATGAATGAATGGCGTTTCTAAGCTAAATCAACTGACAAAAAATGTTAAGGACATTATGTGCTAAGAAGTGCCATTGTGGCAAGCGAAAGCTGGCTGAAAATTTGGAGTTAAACCATCACGGATTCATGGAAATTAAGCATATTAAACATCAGTTTCAGAACTTAATACAACTTGGATGTCAATTTTAAAAAGGGGCTTTTACATTAGGATATAAACGTGCACACATTATGGTAGTATACGTTATCTGGTCCTGGGTGGTAACCACTAGGTTTTAACGTATCGCCATATAAAAATTTTTTACGATCAGTGGTAAAACGTGGTTTCGAAGTTACTGGTGAAAAAAACTATTTTTCCAAAAAAGAAATCGATATTTCGTTCACCAGAGAACTAAAAACACGACCATTAGTACCTATTTCGATAACCTCAGATGTCTAAATAAAGTTTGACTCTAAGACGAGGTTTATATCAACAAAGGTTAGACAAAACAAAAGGGCCTCGGATTACTCACACCAAAATCGTTAGAGCAGCGATAAAGTGAGCCCAATACAAATGTAAGGTAATCCTTTTACCCTGTCAAGGTCACCTAACTAGGCTGCCAAGAAAGGGTAGTTGGTTGAACAAAAGAGGTTGTAATCAAAAGAGACAACGTTGAAAGTATATGAATCAACGACAGTTTAGGACGTGGAGCACACAAAGCCAAAGACATTTCGTGCTATTAAAAGTTGCGCAGCCCTTTAGGCAACCTAAAGTCTTGGATCCTATTGGAGTCACCAAGCACGTTTTTGGCCCAAGGTCAGTAAACCAAAAAACTATGCTGAGGACACCAATCCAAAGTCTCCTACGAAGTCTTATCAAAGTAGCTGAATACATTAAACAATAAAAATGTAAATATTTGACAGAAAAACACCACTATTTTGGTCAAAAATTAAAAAGACCATTGGCATACTTGCGAGAGACTGATGTTGCAGTAGGCTAATGTTTTGTACCCCAGGTTCATTGTCGTATTTTTGTATTTTTTCCGTTTCTGAAGAAGAATTTGAAGGACATTTGAGTCAATCTTGAGTACATGCGAGTATTGAATTGTGCAGTTGAGGTCGATGAGAATGTAGCCACCAGCGCCCCTAGCTGTGGGATTAGAAGTCGCGGCACTGATAGTGGAAGCAGGTTTGGGCACAATAAGTCCGATTTCAGGTGAACGTAAAATGCGACGAGTAGTGCCGCGCATACGGAGCACTACATGAACACCGTTGGAGGTACTTTCGCCAACGTCCATAGGCCTGTCCAAAATAATTTGTCCAATCTGAATATGACATAGCCTACAAAGAAAGTAGAGACACATAAATAAACGACACAAAATGTTTACCAGGATTCATGAGAATGAGTTCAAGGAAAAGTGTCTACGAAATAAAGAACATTATTAATGAGGATTGCAAATATATAATTTCGCCTTTTTTGGGAAATGAGGCATTCTCTTTTCATAAAAATTGTTCGTTACCAGAAAAAAAACACCTGAGACGATTTATGATACTGCAATGAATCGAATATCAAATACTTCTAAAAGTTATGCGAGGACAGTGAAATTTGAATTTAAATGTGGCAAAAACACTAATCGAAGCCAGCAATCCTATTATAGCCCATGCCCTTAGATAAAACCTTGTTTTAAATATTGCAACAAAATGTTCTTGAAAGTTACCCACTACATAATCGGACCTAACCCAATATGAAGCCACATGACCATGAGTGAAAATGAGCTCGCTCTCCGCCAACTGCATTTTACGGTAACTTAAAAAATATTCTTTTAAGTTATCAACGGTTTAGATACATAATTTTACTTTGAGGAGAATCTGCAATCGAAATTCAGTGGGTTTTCACAAGATCTCGCAGGCTACAAATCTAATTTTCTGCAAGATACATTGAGAGTAAGAAAGTTTTGGTTTAGGTTCGTCATGTTCGTATGCATTTAAAATTAGTGACAATGAAAGGATACTTTCTTAAAATATACGTTTTGCTGCGTAGCAGTCTGAAGTCAACAGCGTCCTTGTTCAGTGTCTGTGTAAAAACTATAACACTACATCACCAAAAGATTTAAAACACAAAGATAAGCACAGAAGAGGGCTGCAAAATTTAATAAGCGAGAAAAAATAATTGACGATGACATTCATCGCAATCAAAAATAATGGGGAGCTTAATGATTGTAACTAGGATTAAGTCCGAATCACAAAAAGTGTAGGTGGCCTAAGAGTTTGAATAAAAATTCAACAAACACTTTTAATGTAGAGAAAATTTAATTGAAGGAATGGCAGGTTAATTGCACTGCTCGTCACTTGCATGAATTCATCAACTACCATCAAATGGGCAGCAAAAATGTAGAGCCGAAAAATTCAAGAAGCAATATACGTTAAATAAATAGCGATCTCAGTTTTAGCTATTGCGAGATTACAGCGTCAGATAAAACTACAGTAACAAAAAAAGATTAATGATAATTTGAAGTGCAAACCTTAAGCTACTGTTAAGATACTGCATGTCCCTAAAAATAATTCAATAAGGCGTGGAGAGTACTAAACAAAAGTGTTTCAACAAATTAATAACGAATTTATACAAGCTAAACAGATTTTTTTAGAAGTGCTCACGAGCGCCAAAAAAACAGGTAGACAAATAATAACCTGCGAATAGAGCAAGACGAAGATTTCTCAGCTTCCCAAACTGCAGACATTTTCATTGAAATCATAGTCGGCTCAGTCCCGATGTTAAAACCCGACAAAGACCAGATTTGAGACTACGGGTTAAGTTTACAATTATTAAATAACCAAGGTTAAAAGAGAATCATCGACATTATTGGTTTGAAAATGTAGTGACTTCACAAAAATCTGCGATGTTCTAAGAAACAAAATCTTAAATTTTTTAAACAGACAGTTTACTAAAAATTACCGATTGAATAAGTTTAGGTTAATATAAGTAATCTCATCCCCTATTAAAATTTAAAAGTGTTTTTAAAATCATTTACTTCTACATTAGAATGTTCAGACAAATCGAAAATGCAATGCTTGCCAGATAAACAAAATTGATTGCGATGTTCCTTTTAACAGTTCTGCAAAGCAAAAAAAAGGTGAACAACATAGGTTTTGTCTCGGTTTTGCATAATTGTCCTAAAATATTCAACAACAAACAGTTTTTAGGTTGATTGCACCAAAATTCAACTAAATAGTTAATCAGAATTAAAAGTGCAGGTGCCAATATATATATATATATATATAAGCCAGTAATTTTCTTCCGACAGTGTAACTTAATCAGAATTGGATGCTACCCACCTGCTAACATAATTAGCTCTACTTAGTTCATAAACTCTGCAATGCATGCGTTAAAAATTTTTAACTTTACTTACCTGATAGACGATTTTATCAACTGTTCTGTAGCTAACCATGAGACCAGTAAAAACTTCGGACACTCAAAGTTTCTATTTCTGCCACGGATATCTTTAATATGTACTTCGACCGTAACAACACGGATATAATAATCATTTCTAAATTTTCTTACCTTTATAAACTCATTAGCACCACTCTTATTCGACTAACTAAATCAAGTTTGTGCATCTCATAATTTTTATAGCAGATTTGTGACTTTAAATTCTGACGAACTCCAAGAAATGCTTTTTTTGAAAACAAGAATGATTAACTTGAAAAAAGAACATATTTATATTTATCAAAAGACGATCCTATTGTTTGCTTGGGTATGAATTAAAGTGGCAATCGATAAAGCAGCTTCTGCTCGTGCTGATAAATAGTCAGATGTCGCAAATGACCACAGAGTTTGTTTCTAATTCGTTGATTTACTAGGTGGGATGCAGTCAAACAGAGTGAGTTAATGATCTGAAAGTAGGAACAGAATTTTTGTATTAGTTCTGGGTGTACAAATATACTTTTCAGAACGAAGTTTCGCGGCATGGAGAGTTATACTTTCGTCTGGCTTACTTGGTTCTTAAAATCTAAAACGGATTTCAAAATCCATTCTAATTTAAGGAACATATGAGAACATGCATTAATTCATAAAGCGGATACTTGGTAAACATTTAATTTTTTTGTTCTATTCCGTCCTTGGAAACCTGTAATATGACCTTTACAACCTTAGGTCTACTTGATGTCGTCATTTGCAAAATGCAAGTTACATTATTTAACCCAGCAATCAGAAGCTTAGTTTTAATTTTACTCCTTTGAAGGCCCTTTTTATGCTGTTAAAACAAAGTTGCAGTAGTTGAGATCAAAGAAGCTTAAAAACGGAATTATTACTGGGTTTATAATGGCATTTTTGCCGGATAGATGCTATCAACTTGTATCTATTTTAATTGGTGTTGAATTGAGTATATATTGTCTAATTGAGCCCTATATTGCCAGCACTGGCCTTATTAATAATCCCCTAGGTGGTTCAGCCTGTAAGTCACCGTCAATCCTAGCCAACGATTCTGTCTGCGCGGCTTACTAAATTTTTCTTCATATTCATCCTTTTTTAAAGTTTGCTGTAAGTGCTTAACGCATGTCTGACAAACTCAGGAGAACAATAGTTTAGGTCTCTAGATTTAAAATATCTGGCCTATTTACGGCACTTGACAACCTAATGCAGAGTACTTTAGCCATATTAGTAAAAAGACCTGAAAAATTTGCAAGCTATGATAATTAAATAAAAGCCAGAAAGGTTTAGATTGCGCCGGCCACCCGAGTCTAGTACACTGGTTGAGTATGGCGTTAGAGTGCTTTTTAGCCCTTCCTATTTCCGATTGGCTGCTGATATTCAACATAGGTCATTCGACGGCCTAGATCCAAAGGATTGGCTGAGCTCGGCTTGATCCAATTTGTGTGCGCCGCGTACGGCTCTACAATACAAAAGCACGTGTTCTGAATTTTGGTTACTTTTCTCGTCTATCCTACCTTTAATATAATGTCTGGAGATACTACAATGTCTGGAGATACATGCCTTGATGGTGTGTCTGCAAGAGAGATGTTCAACGAACAGGCGGGTATTACATATAAGTACGTTAATACAAATTGGTCAGAAGTAGTAGTTGAATTTGCTGTAGTCTTCTAATCTATCACTTATATTTGACTTCCACCTTATTAAAAAATCCCAGGAGCGTAACGCTTGATTGTATTTACTACGTTCGTTATAATTCTGTTGTTATTCGAATTTTGTTTGAAGTTAAATCTGACTTGTCTCATGAAGTTCCACGAGTATTCTTCGGACAGGCTATCGATGAAAAATAATATGTTTTTTGCAATCTTCTGAATGCGTAACATGTTCTTTTGATGCTCTCGGTACAATCAATTGATATTAGCTCTCGATTAACTATGATTGGTTGGGCTTGTATTTTCCAGTGGCTGTTGTACACATCGTGTAGGCACCATCACTTTGACCTGTGGTACTCGTAAATTTAAAGTAATTGGTCGAACCTAGTTAAACGGCCTGAGAGACTTGGGTTTTAATTCTGTTATTTACTGTTTGCAATTTAGTGATTTCATAATTCTCCCTGGTTACTTGGACTTTATGGCAAATGATGTCGATCTTTCTACCCGTCTTACAAAAAATATTGACATGAAACTTCCGTTCATCTCCTCGCCTATGGATACCGTAACAGAGTCCAATATGGCTATTGCAATGGGTGTAAGTTGGTCTAATTTTGTTCCTCAAACGATCTTTTGTAGTTATGTGGAGGTGTCGGAATCATACATCACAACTGTTCTATCCCTTTCCAAGTGGACGAAATAAAAAAAGTCAAGGTGAGGTGAGTGGATTTCAGTTTTCATGTGTGTATTAACAGAAATATGAACAAGGCTTTATTATGGATCCAATTGTCCTTGGGCCGAACAACACTCCCGCTGATGTCCTCCAGATCAGAAAGGATCATGGATTTAGTGGTATTCCAATCACAGACACCGGCTTGATTGGTGGTCGTCTCCTTGGTCTGGTTACGCTTCGTGATATCGATTTTTTGGATGACAGTCAACTTAACTGCCCCGTTACATCGGTTAGTGTTTCATACACGTGCTTTTTATGCGTACTGTGAAAACCTTTCTTTGATTTTTTATGTGTAACATTGTTACTTGTGTTAAAACATGGGTTCTTGGTGATAAGGTGCCACTTTTCTTAAAATTTTAGCGAACAAATACTTATAATACTTTTGGTGATTTTTTGCCAAGCTAAAACATGCTTTGCATCCAGTTGGATCAAATTATTTGAATTTACTATTTTATATCTTGTAACATCGATGTACATGTGTATTTAAGTAAATGGTGTAAAATCAGTCACTTTGTTCGACAATTTAATAGCAGATTCCCTAAAGTAATATTTTCGATTTCTAAATTTTAGGTCATGACACCCTTCGATTCGCTTGTCACCGCATATCATGGCATACATCTATCCGACGCCAACAAAATTATGCAGAAAAGCAAAAAAGGCAAGTTAAAGCTTCATGGTAGCAATGTTCATCTAACTGCGTCGGGTACTTTATTTGGCTCTGGTCTCCGTAATTATAAAGCGTTGTCAGAACTTGCCCACAAATATTCCATTTCCTTAACACTTGTAGTCATGACTTCCTAGGTATGGCTATGTCAGTGTTTTGTGTTCTTATTTTAGGGAAGCTTCCAATTATAAATGAAAACAATGAGCTGATATCTATCATATCTCGAACTGACTTGAAAAAGAATCTAAAATATCCTCTTTCTTCAAAAGATTCCAGGTGAGAAGGCGTATTATTTTAATTTTTTTAAACGATTTTTGCTTCTACCTAGTAAAATGTTTTGTTATATTATAATTTATGCTTCTGAGTCAAGTACTCTGTTCTGACCGGTTAAGTGGGTCCCCTCCGGTAAATAATCGACTTCTCGGATATACTCTACCCAAATCCAGGAGGCATAAAAGTTTTGAAGTGCCTTTGTCATTGTCCTAGATCATCATCAAGGTAGCTTTTCCTTGGTCATCTAGCTAGATATAATCGGCAATATTGTCCTGTTAATTTGTTCCTGATTAGACACCTAAATCTGCTTCATATCTGTGTGGTTTGTCAAGAGGTCACTTAGTCAGTTTATCTGGAAGTCGCTCTCTTTTGTCATATTCGGCGGGTGTTTGGGGATTGACTAAAGCAACATCCTGACTTCTATTCTCCCAACCCCACGACGAGAGTGGTAATCCTAACCACAATTGTCATCTGACCCCTTGACTGTACACTCGGTTTGCCGGAATCCTGGGTTTTTGTTAGGTTACGTGGTTTCACTAATAAGATTGGAATTTTGCATTTACTTCCACCGGCATTCTACTTGTTGCTCTGAAAAGCCCCACTGATACCCTCCTCATAACTGCTTCCTGTTCTTCACCTATGTTGCACACAAAATCCCCAACTCAGCTGAATCGAAGATTATAGCCTCATTTTGATTCGGCTTACACTTCGGTCTTACACATTTGAGGGTCGTTGTCTGTCGAGTCAAACACTGGAATGCGCGGTTTAAGTGCATGGTCTACCACGCACTCCATAGCTCGACACGTAGTGTACCCAGCACCCCTTGCTTCGGTGCTTACTGTCATGACACTCCAATCAAGATTCCTCAAACAAATTAGGTTAGAAAGTTTGCCCGCTCATGCTGAAGCCCAACAGGGAAATTAGACAAGTCGATCACCTATTTCATTGGGCTGCCCATGGCAAAAGACATGGTAGAAAAAGGGTAATTGATCACTTCTTTTATTTGATTAAATCAATTCCTTTGATCAACCATATTCCTTAGTTTTGGTAAACATATTGGAACTGCAACTAAATAGTAAATGATGCCGGTTTTATCGAACAATGCAGGTAGCTCCCACATTTGCCTTTTATAAGCAGCACCTTGGAGTTGTTATGTCCTTCATATTGTTCTTGGGTGTTTGAATGTAGGAAGCGAATTTTGGTTGGCGGAGCTATCTCGACGCATGCCGATGGGTGGGATCGCGCGGAGGCTTTGCTTAATGCGGGCGTTGATCTCCTACTTTTGGTGAGTTCCAGTGAATGCAATATTGTAGTTCCTCTCGGGCTCGGTACCACGAGAACTACCTTAACACATTTATCGGCTCACCACTGACATGCCTTAGTAGTAAGTTTCAGTCTTATTAGGTGACTACCCAATAGCTGGTCAATTTCACTAGATAAACTCAAGGTGAGACAAAATTCGCCAAGGGCAAGTCCTAGGTAAAAGCAAAACGTGTCCGGAGTAGGTAGTGGCTGTGTAAAGTCAACCAACTTCAATATACTCACTATCTTCGAGTGCTACAAACCACAAATTACGATGTTTCCGCCATGGTTTCTATGACATTTTACTTATTGAGGGGCTCGTAAACTAAGTGAGGTTAACACGTTGCTAAAATCGAATGGTTCAAATTACGAACTTGACAATTTTCGAGCGCTTGTCGAACCTTTAGATTGACATTTATGGAACTTTTCTTCAAGCTTGTAAATCTGATTGAAGATTGGCTTCCTTCTGCACTTTAATGTTTAACCAACAGCCCTCTTTTCTTTTTTTTTCAAAATTTGCCTACCTATACTTGGCGACCAATAATGCCAGCAGTGCCAGCCCGCGGCTAGTTTGATTCGCTATATTAAATTCTGTCAGGACTTCTTACACTCGTTTTATGATTTTTTGGTGCAAAAGTATGAACCACTCCGGGGTTACTGAATTAACTCTGGCCCGATTACGCTTCCCTGAAACCCGCGATAAGGGAAAAGACCGGAGAGGACGTGGACACAACCGTTTACTTCACAACTCCACCACGTTGGTATCGTTGTGTCGTGTGTGGGATTCGCGAGTGTGTATTTATACCTCAGATGTGTGGGTCATAGATGCGCTAACATCGGGACCTAGGTGTGAGGATAATGCAGGATAAATATCCGCGTGAATGAGGGGGTGTTGAGGATCCGCGCGGCTGGCGACATGCTGCGAAAGGGGGAATACTGTGTCGGTGAATGGAGCGACCGGATTAAGGCGTGTGTATAAACACGGTTCACAACAGTGATTTGTCATATGATGCAAGTTGATACAATGAGGCAGCACATGTTGCCTGACTTTTCCTCCATTGTACATTGTAGGATTCTTCCCAAGGCAATAGTATTTTCCAGCTGGACATGCTGAGGCGTCTGAAGTCGGCCTATCCCCACGTTGATGTTATTGCTGGCAACGGTAAGAGCTGTCCTCGGGTTTAGCCTGTGTGCATTCTTAAAATGAAAACGCAAGTCATTGGCGGTCCCTTGGTCGGGGAGAACTAATACCTACCGGGTTTTCTAGCCTCGTTTTGGCTAGGAATGAAAGGACTGCAGTCAGTAGGTCTTGGGTATTGCTCGTCGACCACCGCACGATATCCACGTGTGTCGCTTAGCGCTTACTGTAATTAAGCTCCATCTTTGCGATGCGTAGCACTGCTTTGGGCCAATCAACCTTTAAGCCCAGAAAATTAGACTCATTAATTGTGGGCAAATGGGGAAGTAAAAAAATTAACCGCAGTATTGCCCTGTCAAAATAGACCGATTAAGAGTAAGGAGGCTGTTGTATGCGCGCCATTTCGTGATGTGTGTGTGAATGATATCCTCTTTTTTGCAAAATCATCTGCCTAATATTTCCAGTCAACATTTTCCCAATAATATGCATTGTTTTTCTTCATACATTGGCCAGTTTAATCATGACCACTGCTGAATGTTTGGTTGCGTGTCCACAGCACACAGTTGTTTATTGGGATGGCGGAAACGAGTGCTGCTCGTACGTCAAGTAGTTAAAGCGTGTGGAACAGTCTGACACGCCGTTCGTCTCGCACTGTTTTCATGCCGACACTGCTGCCGCCGCCGCCGGTGTGTACGGCATGTCGGTGCCAGATTGAGTGATGGCATTTTGTCAACACTGCAAACTGCTCTGTGGACCGAAGTCACTCTCTCCTTAAGCGCTCGGCGGCAATTTATAGTGTAGTGTTCCATAGGCGTCTTTTGCGCCTACTAAGGAGTTACAATCAGAGGAAATTGCTGGACAATACGGATAGGCCGCATTTTGCAGATAATAACGACCTACTTAATGGGTCAAGTTGTTCCTGGAAAAAGTAGTCAATCGATTTCACACATGAAATTTATGTGGTTCATTCAGGGGCCGTACAACTTGGAGGCCAATTCGGCTGAATTATTTCGGTTTAGCCACAACAAAATCGACAATCTGTTAGGGGGAGGGGGTTTCTCTAGCCTTTTGGACTCGCACTCAACAAATAACTCGTTACTTTACCTCGTTACCTGCCACCTCTAGTTGTGACCTGTGCCCAGGCGAAGAACCTAATCGACGCCGGCGCGGACGCCCTACGTGTTGGAATGGGCAGTGGCTCCATCTGCATCACACAGGAAGTTACTGCTGTTGGTCGTTCGCAAGCCACTGCTGTTTACAAGGTGGGCTTAATTTGCATGACATCCTCTCCACAAGCCCATCACTGCTTATTGTGTAACTTACAGATATATAGTCTGCTTGTGGCTCTCATATTACTGGTTATCAACTTTACAAATTCGTGGAATACAACTACTGTTAAAGTTTGCGTAGCTGCTGTTTATTGGCGCTTCCGAAATTCTCTCGCAGGTATTCTTTTATCATAAAGTAATGTTGAATTTCACCTTACCAATCTGGAATCTCTAATTGTGTTTCTGCAGTTACACTGCAATGTTCGACACATTGTTCCGACTAAAGTCCCGCCTTACGTGCGGTTTTTACGTTTGCTTAGCGCTGTTAGGCGACTCAGTATGGCTGTTATTCTGGGGGTGTAGCGTACTTCATATTCAACTTAGACACTCGTAACCATTACCATTATTTTGACGAAACCGACGTTCTTCGATTCGATTTGATTGCCTGGAACTGGAAGGTGGTTCTGTCTCCTTCCGTGTGAGCCTATGCCTTCATGCCCGATCAGTCTTAGTACGTGGGAGTAGCAAGCCCGTGGTAGAACTGACCAGATTGGTAGATGTCAACAATCCTAGCCACACTGTGCTACGTAACAAAAGACCTGTTGCAATGATTCTTAACCTTATTACCGTTACCTTTGCGAATGCAACTCAGTTTTCAGGTCGAACTGTAATAATGAGCAGCGTTACAACTTTTTTGCCTCCTTTCGTGTATCTAATTCATAATTGAAAGATGTAAAATGCATGAGTTTGTTTTGCTGTGTCCATCCGCTGCCCGAACAGGCAATAGGACACTGGCATTGTTGGGTTTGTGGCGTCCACGTCGAGTCTGGGTGTGTCCCGGTTTTTATTGTGGGCTGCCACGCCCGCCCGGTCATTAGTGCTGCGGTTTAGCTCTCTTGGTTGGTCTGTTCTCCCATGCTCGGGGTTTGGTTAATTTTATGCGAGCTCGCGCATTTCGCTACTTTGCCAAACCTAGCGATTGTGGGCTCGTAGCCCTTGTCAAAGCAACCCTGTGATTATTTTGGCTTTCAGTTTTCGCCCATGTTTACGGCGCTCTCACATAGCTTTTCCTGTCAATAAAAATATGCACATTTTCCACCACACTATTTTGGAGCGACATACTTTATGGAAAAGTAGTTTTTTTCGGATTCTTCCAGGTCGTAAAGTAGCGAGTAAATTTGATATCCGAAGTATACTTTTGTAGAATAAACTATGAGCGATCCAATGAGATGAGGCCGTTTATCTCTAACGGAAGGATAAGCCACTGATTTCTGCAGCAAATGAAGAAGAGTTCGGCAGGCAATTAAGTTACCTCACAATGCACCCAACAATCCACGATTAAGTAATCGGGTGAGGGGAGGCTATCATGATTTTGTGATGTGGGTTCCATTCTCCTTTTGCCGGGCATCGCGCTCCTGAAATTTTCAAAAAGCCCCAGTGGCGGCCTTCTGTGGCAGATACTTTCTCTACCTTTTCGTGTTTTTTTTAAACTTGACCTGCCTGCTTTAAATTGCCTCAAATCACTTTGATCCTTCTCGTAGTTGCAATTGTTTGCGAATTTCGCATTTTGGTTCAAATCCGTAAATCACACATTCGTTCTGATTAACAATGGAAGGTAATTCGTTAATATTATAATGAGACAATTCTGTTTAAACGGCTTGCCCCTGATTATGCGAGGCCTCCGAGTGGAGCCGTGAAGGCAGCATTGAGAAAGTCTTGAGCGGGTTGTTTTTGTTTAGACGATCAATCTTTGTAGATGCGGCAGATCCCTGTTTTAGCTGTTGTCCAGTGTAGGGGTCCGGCCGGTCGTCAGCCGTTTCGAAGCCCCGAACACGTAATTTGTGCATTCAAATGGCATAAAACATGTTTCGGGAAAGTTTCAATTGCCAAGACATGTCGACTTGCCTGCTGTACGTGCTGTTTTAAGGTGTCTGAATACGCGCGTGCTTACGACGTGCCGGTCATAGCTGACGGCGGCATCTCTGCAGTGGGGACTATCGTGAAGGCCCTTGCGCTGGGCGCCTCCACTGTGATGATGGGGTCTCTCGTTGCAGGCACCACGGAGGCACCCGGCGAATACTTCATCTCGAAAGGCTTCCGCGTCAAGAAATATCGCGGTGAGTTGGATGTTTGCAGATGCTTGCTCAAATTAACAGATCGTTACATCGGCGGTTACTGAGGGTTGGTGCCAGTGGGTGCGTGTCTTGCACTTTCCCCCCTTTTACCTAGTGGGTCTAATTTAACTCCCAAACGGAAGGCCTTTATCTCAGCTCTAATTGACCTTTTAGTTATTGCTTACTGACTTGAAATTTTAGGCACTTTTTGAAGTTGGTAAGATTTCGTTACTTCCGTGATGCTTTTAAACTACTGCCAAATATCTTTGCGTGAGTACCGGCTTGAGTGATAAGATAGGAACTTCCGTATATTTGATTTCTTACCTGGGCAGGGTGATATCACAATATAAACAGATAAAACCTAAACCTCTTCTGCTAGTCCTGAGCGTGCAAATGGGATACTTGGGTTCGGTGTGTGCTTGTGCGTCGCCCTAGCGTGAGGGATTCCTTTTCTGTGTTACGTGAAAAGGTTACATATGCTGTCGTATGTAGTGTTGAGAGGTGCTTAGTGTCGATTGGGCTCTGATTTGTTTGCTTACTTTCAGTTATTTTCATGTTGTAGGCATGGGCAGTCTCGACGCCATGTCTTCGAACCAGTCTAGCCAAAACCGATACTTCTCAGAGCATGACACAGTGAAGGTAGCTCAAGGTGTGTCTGGAAGCATCATGGATCGTGGCTCCATTCACCAGCTCATCCCGTACCTCGCCGCTGGTCTGAAGCACGGCATGCAGCAGATTGGCGCTCGGTCTCTCAAAGCCCTTCGCGACCAGATGGTGTCCGGTCAGCTGCGCTTCGAGCGTCGCAGCCCCTCCGCTCAGCTCGAGGGCTCCGTCCACAGTCTCCACTCGTAAGTCCTTCCCCCTCGCACACACACACACACGCCACAACTAGTTCATCTGCTCCATGCACCATAGTCTTTTCGAAGAATGACTCGCCGCTCGGCGTTGGTGTCGCGCTTCCAAAAGTTGTCGCTAGGCTTCACAGCTACTCACTGACGATTTTATTGTCTAAGAACGGAAAATTACTTCAATTTACTAGCTCCTTCACTGTGTCAACGCATCTGTTTTTAGATACACCGTGCCAGCAGTAAACAGGGAGGTGAAGGGGTGCGTATAAGTGCACTGGTGTTGTCAGTTTTCGTGTCTTCTTCACCACAAAAAACATCCACCTGTCAAGCGTTTAGACTTGTCAGCAGTTATTGATGTTGTTTACTGTGTGGCTGTTCCTGGATTTTTGTGATGGATAGTTAGCAATTGAACCAGTTCGCGGAAAATTGGTGAAAACCCCAATAGCCAAATATTGCAATACACGTTTGTTTTGCTATTTCCAATATTCTCGTGTAAATACTAGCATTTTGGTGGCATTAATCTCTCATTTGCGAAACCAAAGTGTCATTTGCTGCAGCTGGTTTGGGAGTATTTTCCAACTTCTCAATTTACTTCTGTCAGTTTACACTACTCGATACCTAATAGCGTTGCTAATGCAAGTGTTTTGCGCCAGGGATACAAAAGCCCATTGACTAAATGTAGCAGGCACACGACACCAATACTGCACTCTCCAGGACAAATTGAAGGCTTTTATTGGTGCGACAAACATTCGGGGGAGGGGGAAAGATTGGGAAGCCAATGTAGTCAGAATTGAATCATCCGATTTTCACACTGCTTAACATTATAGCGGCTTTGCTGACTAGCATCTTCTTTTATTTCGTAGGTGCCGAGACTGTGAAAGCAAAACAGACTTTGATCAACCATTTTTGATTGCTGAAACGCGGTCATTTAAATTAACAATTTAAAAAGATGTTTTCTTAAGCGTGGTAATGTGGTGTCCCGGTTTTTACTTGCTGCAGTGATGCCCAATCTAGAAGCATGAGTTGCTGCTACACATTTTCACTTCCTGTTTTTTTCTCCCTAGATACGAGAAGCGTTTATTCTAACTGTGCGCAGGCTCCGTGTTGGATTTTAACTCTGTCATAGCCACTTGTGTGGTGGTCATTTGACTCTTGATACACCTGTGCCATTTTAGAGGTAAAGATACTTTCACAGTATGTTCTTACTGTTGTTTTGGACGGGGCAGCGGAAACCTGAGTACTTTGGTTTTGAGTGAAACGTCTGCTGCGTGCAGTGTGTCCCCAAGTCATCAACGTTTATTTCTGATGACTTGAATCGCCATAACAACACCAATGTGTCTTAACATTGAGTTTATTTACATTTCGCTGTTTAGGGCAAGTGTTTAACATTCTTCGCAAAGTCTACAACCGTCTCATAGTTTAATAATTGTCGGTTCTTTCATCAAAATATTCAAACTCGCTTGAATTCACCTGTATCACGGACAATCGGAGCAGATCAAACCACATTGTTATTGGTAGAGGGATTGATGCTTTTTCTAAGTTACAAGTAATTATTGGTCAGACTAAGAAGAAAACGATCAATTCATCCTGGAAGCTACTCACGAGTGGAGAGTGCAGGAGGTTTACCGTAGAGACGATTCCGCGGTATTGAAAAATGTTTTATTCGCAATAATTTATCGAGTGGCACGGATATCGGTCGCTAACATTTGGTGCCGCAGATCGAGATGGCGTTTGAAAGAGGTTTGTGGACAAATGCCGGTGGATGTAATTGCGATATTTTGCTCCATGTTCATTCTCCCACTGATTTTCCACTCACTAGACCTCGTAACCCTTGCGGCTTAGAATGCGTGAAGTCGCATTGTCGGTGAAGGTGGATTTTATCAGGAAGTAGCCTTGATGCTGACGTTTTTCAATGGAACATTCAATCCTTCTTAAGCAGTGTCTTCATAGTCATAATGTCCTTGCATAGCGTGCATAAATTTCCCTGATCCTAGCCATGTTGAAACCAGTAAGCTTGACTGCTGGACGATGACGGTAATCCGTCCATGTGTCATGTGCACTGCAATTAGTGCAGGCCTGTGGACTCCGAGCCCGTGCATAGCCGCGTGCCCGGTGCGATTGCTGACCGCCGTGGACTTGTCGCCTCCGCATATGGAGTTGGTGCCACTGGATTTAGCCCTTCAGAGCCCACCTTGTTATTAAACAGCATTTTGGTCGCAAGCACTAGTTCAAGTAGACTGCCACAATGCAGTGACAGTGTTTCTAGGAGTCCACAATCTTTAACACAGATTGTGCATACATACGCTAAAAGGGTCACTACTAGAAACGTTAAGTAGCAATGCATAAACTAATTTTGTACACCTGTTAATTTTGCTCGAAGTAGTTGATCAAATTGCCAATGTTGTGGCAGCGTTAATCGAAGCCTTGATTATTCTCAATATTTCTTTAGGCCGCAGCACTTTGGTCAATTCTAAGGGTCTTTTTTGCTCCGGGTCTGCAAGAAAATATTACGCTATTAAACCGGCTTAATTTTTGACTTTAGAGAGGCACATTAGAAACAAATCCCAAATTTTCTATTTCCATGTCAGCCGTAGGGGGTTTAGTCTAAAAGTTCTGCCCAATCAGAAGAGCCCCATCAATTAATTCAACTTTTCGTGTGTAGAAAAGCTTTAATAGTCTGAGCAAAGGAGGGCTAGAGTGGTAGATTTTTTCTGTCAAGGTCGAATTAAAAATCAATGCTATTTACTTCTCGTTTCAAATGTTCTCTCCCCGATCTCACACGCGCGCGACTACTGAACCTCTTGGATGCCGTGTAGGCTGACTGCCAAACAAAAGAGCCTATTTGGATAAATGAAAAATCTGAAGCAATAGTCGGGTTGACATTGCAAGGCCAAACACTCTCCAACTGCATGGACTTGCTTAATGGCAATTGACACCGTCGGATTGGTACTTTAATTTGACTTCGCGCGGGTTAGATGTGTGATAAGGGGAGTGGATGGGGACCTCTTTATTCCCGAATCAAATTTGCCTATCCATTGGTAATTGTCAGTCGCAGCTCCTGTTTTATCTATTAAAATATCAATTGTTTCATAATTCTTAACTGCTTTGTAAAGCGAATTTATAATTAAGGAAACACAGGAACCTGGAAATTCAATATTTCGTCGTGTAACGCTCCATATAAGTAGTAGTAGCTTATTAATGTATCATGTTGCACAAGAATATAATGCTGACATATCTGCAAGGGTTTCGCAAGGCAATGACTCATGGAGTATAGAGCCTCTAAGGCTTCGAATCTTTCATTTACGCTCGATTTCAACTCACCGGCCCCCGAATCGGTGGAAAGTTAGATTATGCAATTGTGATAAGTCAAGTTCATTGTCTCCAATCGTGTGTTCAGACTTCCAGGTAAACATCCCTTCCGAAAAACCGTGCGTTTGTTCCTCCCCATCTCTGTCCCAGTGTCCTTCGGAGTTTGCGTCCGTTCATGTAGTTTTCCATGCATGCCTATAATTTGTGGGTGAACACGACCTTGTGTGCGCGCGAAAACAACTGAGTAAAATCAACAAATAAACGGTTGCACTCCAGGTACCTCCATAGCGCAACCGGCCCTAAATTTCGGCAGCCCAGATCTCGAATCAGGAATTACACAGTTGCTTCTATAGAGAGAATAATCTCGCTTTTACTTACCACAAAATTTAACTTGGCAAGTGAAATGTGATTATTGATTATTATGGCTTTTTTTATAACATCCGCACCAACGCATTCAATGACACGACAAAATCCCTTGGCTTAAAACGCTGACTCCATTTTGTATTGTCTATCAAAATCCACACTTGAGGTTGGCTTACTTTATTTATGAATGTTTGTGACCACCAATAAATGAATTAAATTCAAATGTGAATGTTTAATAAGTGTGTTGTATTTTCGAAAATAACACTCTCGAAACGTTTTTCGAATGTTTTGCATGACGGCATGCTTTCACAGCAGCACAACTTTGCATTCACATTAAATTAACGAACATGTCTTTCACCTCTCTCACTTTTCGCTAATTCTCTTATGTCGCAAAACGGTGTGAAAATATCGATAACTTGATTAATCCTTCCCCAGTGCTTAATGAGAGCTGTTTTACATTCAAAGAAATCACAGTCTCTGGTGCGGGGTTGGCACATGACAGCCCCTGCAACATTCGATTCACTAGCTCAGGTAATTGCCATGGTTTTAACTTGATTTGCCTTCTAATTAGCCTATGCCAATGAGAACGATGAATTTGAATGTGTTTTAAGTCCTCACACATAGCTGCGAAAAGTCACGTTAGCAGAAATCCGAAACAGCGTGTAATTAATGAGAATATGACATATCACAGCGCCTCAAAGTTGACTACCATGAAACACTATTTACTCGGTGCCAAGTCTTCAAACGAATCACTGAGGGGGTTTTAATTAAAGAAAACGTTGATCAGAAGTTTTGGTGACTGGAATTAGCACGTCGTGGTCTGAAAACTATAAAGAGGCTTATACAAACATCTTATTATGTGAAAAAGGATGTTTTAGGTACTGAGTTTTAAAAAATCTAAATGCAGCAAAGATGTGCAGCAAAATACAGCAGCGAATAAACCGATCACTCCGTTTTTACTTGAATATGGTTGATGTAAAATGAGAATGAACTGCATCTGAACTACATCCAGCTGAAATTGAGCTGATGGCAAAATTTCAGTCACGTAGTACTTCAGACCGAAGAAATCATGCAGACCTGTCATTAGGTCCCGGTAGCCAAATGTGAAGTGTTCATTTAAGTACATAGCCCTAACTCACTCTTCGGCATGTTAACTAGTAATAACGGACTGGTGATAGTAGTCCTTAAGCTCACAATTACAAAAAGTGGATTTCATAACTCAGCCATCTTTCAGCGACCTATCCGAGATTGTTTAAGCTGTTGGAAGTGGCATTTGTTATCAATAGCAAATCTAAATAACGGGGCATAACCTCGTGATGAAATTCGTGGTTA